AGGTGCTGAGCCTAGGTGTGAGGAGTCTGGGGGTGCTGAGCCTGGGGGCGCTGAGGCGTCTGGTGAGCAGTCTCCCTGGAGCGGCCGTCTCCGTAGTCGCTCCGCTGGTGCCTTGCCGCTGCACTCTCGTCGTCGACTCCCTCTCTCCCCACAGCAGCTGCTTGAGTGGTACGCTGGCCGTCAGGGTCGCGCTGCTTCAGGGGCCAGGGGCGGCTGCTCTGGGTCCAGGGGCGGCTGCTCGAGGGTCCAGGGGCGGCTGCACCAGGGGCGGCTGATTCAGGGGCCGGGGGCGGCTGCTCTGGGTCCAGGGGCGGCTGCTTGAGGGTCCAGGGGCGGCTGCACCAGGGGCAGCTGCTTCAGGGGCCGGGGGCGGCTGCTCGAGGGTCCAGGGGCGGCTGCACCAGGGGCGGCTGCTGCAGGGGCCAGGGGCGGCTGCTCTGGGTCCAGGGGCGGCTGCTCGAGGGTCCAGGGGCGGCTGCACCAGGGGCGGCTGATTCAGGGGCCGGGGGCGGCTGCTCTGGGTCCAGGGGCGGCTGCTCGAGGGTCCAGGGGCGGCTGCACCAGGGGCGGCTGCTTCAGGGGCCGGGGGCGGCTGCTCGAGGGTCCAGGGGCGGCTGCACCAGGGGCGGCTGCTGCAGGGGCCAGGGGCGGCTGCTCTGGGTCCAGGGGCGGCTGCTCCAGGGGCGGCTGCTTCAGGGGCCAGGGACGGCTGCTCTGGGTCCAGGGGCGGCTGCTCGAGGGTCCAGGGGCGGCTGCACCAGGGGCGGCTGCTTCAGGGGCCAGGGGCGGTTGCTCTGGGTCCAGGGGCGGCTGCACCAGGGGCGGCTGCTTCAGGGGCCAGGGGCGGTTGCTCTGGGTCCAGGGGCGGCTGCTCCAGGGGCGGCGTAGCTGGTACAGGGCAGTGCGCGGCAGCAGCACTGCAGCAGCAGTTCAGGCGCAGCAGCTTGAGTGCAGCAGTAACACGGGCCGCGTGCGGGCCAGGCATGGGCTGTAAGGGCTGCGTGCGGGCCTGGCGCGGGCTGTACGAGCTGCGTGCGGGCCTGGCGCGGGCTGTACGAGCTGCGTGTGGGCCTGGCGCGTGCTGTACGGGCTGCGTGCGGGCCTGACGTGGGCTGTACGGGCTGCGCGACGGCCTGGCGCGGGCTGTACGGGCTTCGCGACGGGCCTACGCGGGCTGTACGGGCTTCGCGACGGGCCTACGCGGGCTGTACTGGCTGCGCGCGGGCCTGGCGTGGGCTGTACGGGCTGCGCGACGGCTTGGCGCGGGCTGTACGGGCTGTGCTCGGGCCTACGCGGATTGTACGGGCTGCGCACGGCAGAAAAGGGCAGGGCAGCGCGAAACGCTGGGCAGGGCAGAAACTAACGGTCGGGCAGGTGAAAACGAATGTGGTGGGCCCTTAATTACGGTCCTAGGCTAGGACCGTCCTAGCTCTTAATACCATGTTAGAATACTAGGAAGTGATGATGTCATTAGGTGAAGGGGGGGTACAAGAAGAATGTCGAGAGAAATATTGTACCCCCTAGTGCTAACCCCCATACAGCCTAGATAACCTAAACATGCATATATTGTTTGACACACCCCCATAGGCGAAATGGGGGATAGCCAGAGCAAGCAAAGGTCACAAGACCAGACAAGAGAAGAAACAAAACACAGCTCAGGGTGGATCACAAAGTCACCACACACTCTGAGCACAAGTAAGAGGCCACAAGGCCAGTTCACATGCAGAGATGTATATGCAGCAAAGCACAGTGATCACTACCTAACAAGAGCAAGCATGCAGGTATATATGTATAGATCACAGTACAAGCAAAGTCTACAGCAAGTGAGAAAACGTGGGCACAAGGCCTGGTCCCGGACTGGTCGGCACCTGGCCACGTTCACCCGTGAGCCTGGCTCGAGTCTGTACACACTGACCACGGTGTCCCCTTAGGTAGCTTCGTCTGCGTCTGCGTCAGGTCAGCTAGCGGCCCCCTGCTCGTGTCGCGCTCTGTCGCACCATACCCTCCTTTGGCACCACCGCCTTGGTCACCCCTCGGTGCAGCGCCTTCGTAGCATGCACCGCCGTTTCCTTGTTTCTGGACTTCCAGAGACTCTGCCTCCTCTACCACCCTCGCCTGCTCCTCCCTGTCTTCCCTGTGTCGAGGGGCGGCAGCGCGCCGCTCCTCACTCCTCCTCGTTCCCTCCCACAGAGGCTCCCCTGCAGACTCTACACCTGGACGTGTGGGGCCCAGCCCGCGTCCGTGGACAGGGCCACGAGCGGTACTTCCTGCTGGTCGTCGACGACTACACGCGTTACACCACGGTCTTCCCCTTGCGCAGCAAGGGGGAGGTCCCTGATGTTTTGATCCCCTGGATCCGCGCTGTTCGTCTCCAGCTCCGCGAGCGGTTCCAGTCGGACTTTCCAGTCCTGCGTCTGCACTCTGACAGAGGTGGTGAGTTCTCCTCAGACCTCTTGGCAACCTACTGTGCGGAGCACGGCATCCGCCAGACGTTCACGCTTCCGGCCTCTCCGCAGCAAAATGGGGTTGCTGAGCGCCGCATTGGCTTAGTCATGGAGGTCGCTCGTACCTCCATGATCCATGCGGCTGCCCCCCATTTTCTGTGGCCGTTTGCGGTCCGGTACGCCGCGCATCAGCTCAACCTCTGGCCCCGTGTCTCTTTGCCGGAGACCTCGCCCACACTGCTGTGGACGGGGAAGGTTGGCGATGCGTCGCGTTTCCGGATCTGGGGTGCTCGTGCCTTTGTCCGCGATACCACCGCGGACAAGCTCTCCGCCCGAGCTGTTCCCTGTGTTTTCCTTGGCTTTGTCCCTGACGTGCCTGGTTGGCAGTTTTACCACCCCACCTCGTGCCGTGTCTTCCCCTCTCAGGACGTCACGTTCGACGAGTCGGTTCCCTTTTACCGTCTCTTCCCCTACCGCACTGCCCCTCTCCCCCCCCCGCCGCTCTTCCTCGCTCCAGGTGCTCCCCAGGTAGACCCCCTCCCCGCTCCCGGTCCTGCTCCTTCAGGTGTGTCTCAGGTAGACCCTCCTCCCTTGACTGCGCCGGTTGAGGTCACTGGTGACTCGGGTCCTGCTGAGGGTGGTCCTGCTCGGGGTGCTGCTTCTGGGGGTGCTGAGCCTGGGGGTGCGGAGCCTGGAGGTGCGGAGCCTGGGGGTGCGGAGACTGGAGGTGCTGAGCCTAGGTGTGAGGAGTCTGGGGGTGCTGAGCCTGGGGGCGCTGAGGCGTCTGGTGAGCAGTCTCCCTGGAGCGGCCGTCTCCGTAGTCGCTCCGCTGGTGCCTTGCCGCTGCACTCTCGTCGTCGACTCCCTCTCTCCCCACAGCAGCTGCTTGAGTGGTACGCTGGCCGTCAGGGTCGCGCTGCTTCAGGGGCCAGGGGCGGCTGCTCTGGGTCCAGGGGCGGCTGCTCGAGGGTCCAGGGGCGGCTGCACCAGGGGCGGCTGATTCAGGGGCCGGGGGCGGCTGCTCTGGGTCCAGGGGCGGCTGCTCGAGGGTCCAGGGGCGGCTGCACCAGGGGCAGCTGCTTCAGGGGCCGGGGGCGGCTGCTCGAGGGTCCAGGGGCGGCTGCACCAGGGGCGGCTGCTGCAGGGGCCAGGGGCGGCTGCTCTGGGTCCAGGGGCGGCTGCTCGAGGGTCCAGGGGCGGCTGCACCAGGGGCGGCTGATTCAGGGGCCGGGGGCGGCTGCTCTGGGTCCAGGGGCGGCTGCTCGAGGGTCCAGGGGCGGCTGCACCAGGGGCGGCTGCTTCAGGGGCCGGGGGCGGCTGCTCGAGGGTCCAGGGGCGGCTGCACCAGGGGCGGCTGCTGCAGGGGCCAGGGGCGGCTGCTCTGGGTCCAGGGGCGGCTGCTCCAGGGGCGGCTGCTTCAGGGGCCAGGGACGGCTGCTCTGGGTCCAGGGGCGGCTGCTCGAGGGTCCAGGGGCGGCTGCACCAGGGGCGGCTGCTTCAGGGGCCAGGGGCGGTTGCTCTGGGTCCAGGGGCGGCTGCACCAGGGGCGGCTGCTTCAGGGGCCAGGGGCGGTTGCTCTGGGTCCAGGGGCGGCTGCTCCAGGGGCGGCGTAGCTGGTACAGGGCAGTGCGCGGCAGCAGCACTGCAGCAGCAGTTCAGGCGCAGCAGCTTGAGTGCAGCAGTAACACGGGCCGCGTGCGGGCCAGGCATGGGCTGTAAGGGCTGCGTGCGGGCCTGGCGCGGGCTGTACGAGCTGCGTGCGGGCCTGGCGCGGGCTGTAAGAGCTGCGTGCGGGCCTGGCGCGGGCTGTACGGGCTGCGTGCGGGCCTGACGTGGGCTGTACGGGCTGCGCGACGGCCTGGCGCGGGCTGTACGGGCTTCGCGACGGGCCTACGCGGGCTGTACGGGCTTCGCGACGGGCCTACGCGGGCTGTACTGGCTGCGCGCGGGCCTGGCGTGGGCTGTACGGGCTGCGCGACGGCTTGGCGCGGGCTGTACGGGCTGTGCTCGGGCCTACGCGGATTGTACGGGCTGCGCACGGCAGAAAAGGGCAGGGCAGCGCGAAACGCTGGGCAGGGCAGAAACTAACGGTCGGGCAGGTGAAAACGAATGTGGTGGGCCCTTAATTACGGTCCTAGGCTAGGACCGTCCTAGCTCTTAATACCATGTTAGAATACTAGGAAGTGATGATGTCATTAGGTGAAGGGGGGGTACAAGAAGAATGTCGAGAGAAATATTGTACCCCCTAGTGCTAACCCCCATACAGCCTAGATAACCTAAACATGCATATATTGTTTGACAGAAAATGAATAACACACCACCATGGCAATGACTTTTTAAATCCCACTCCAAGACTGTCCCATAACAGTTGTCTGCACTGGCAACTCTGGGTCGCATCTGTCATACTGAAAAGCTGCCATGGGCCGTCTAGCATAAAACACCGCAGTGTGCGAATACCCAGACTCCGACACAACGTAAGCATCGCAGGATGCCAACAATAACCATTCTGTAACGACCTCCTGGAACAGCCGAGCCTCTTCCTGCTTGTCCTTCTCAATGGTGGTGCTAGTCGCATTGGTAGCCGCAGCAGTCATGGTAATGTTGGCGTCAGTGTACTCTGCATCTGGGGCTACAATCCCAGCCGGGCGTCGGGAGGCTTCAGTGTCAACTGCTCCCAGGTTGTTGGAATGACGTGGCACAAAATCAGTGGTGAAGACCTGGAAAGGGAAAACGAAATGGGCGAAAATCAGCAGCAGCAAGGACGGAAAGGCCACAATATTGCTAGGGACAAAGAAGTGGGCTTGTAGTGGTGCAAATTACGAAAGTGAGGACACTACACCAGGACACAGATTGATGCAAGAAACAGGCAGAGAAGAGGGGCAGGTAACAGCTGATACGCATCGTAGCCCTAAAAATGTGGTGATGGTGATGGTGATACTGATGGTGATGGCGATGGTGAGGATGAGGATGAGGATGAGGATGAGGAAGAGGATGAGGATGAGGATGAGGAGGAGGAGGAGGAGGAGGAGGAGGAGGAGGAGGAGGAGGAGGAGGAGGAGGAGGAGGAGGAGGAGGTGGAGGAGGAGGAGGAGGAGGAGGAGGAGGAGGAGGAGGAGGAGGTGGAGGAGGAGGAGGAGGAGGAGGAGGAGGAGGAGGAGGAGGAGGAGGAGGAGGAGGAGGAGGAGGAGGAGGAGGAGGAGGAGCTCCAGACCTCACAAGAGAACAGTATCGCGCAATGCAATGCAAGCATGGTGCAAAAAAAAAAACGAGACAACGGAATTGAGTGGGAAGGGGGGGAGATGCAGGGAGAAGAAGGCAAAGGGCAGGAAGAAAGGCAGGGGGGAGAAAGGAGGAGTGTCTGTTTGCGAAGGGGAATGGGGACAGCGGTTGAGGGGGAGAGGGAAGAGGGGGGTTTGGGTTGGGAATGGTGCACGGTGCATGGAGGCACCGAAGAAAGGGTGACCCTGTCAGGGTAATGCCACTCAATGGCTTGCTTGAGCTGACTGTTTAGTCGACGATTTAAACACCAAAAGAACCGCAGGCATGGAGGGAGGGAGGGAGGGAGGGAGGGTGCGCACACCTTATCGGGGTACTGTGACTTGATGGCTTGCTTGAGCTGAGCGGAATTGGTGATAAGCATCCAGCGCACACCCAGGGAGGACGGAAACCAGTACCCCTCCACCCTCTGCGACACAGGACATGCAGGGCAGGGAGAGAGGCGGAGAGGGGTGGAGATGGGTGGAGAGGGGTGGGGGGGGGTGGAGAGGGGAGGATGTGGGTGGGGTGATGAGACCAAGTTTGAGCGAGAAGACAGGCGTGGCGGGGAAAGGGGGAAGCAGGTAGGAGATAGGGAGCAGCGGGTAGGGGTTGGTGGGTAGGGAACCCGGAACGGGGGTGATAGCTGGAATGGGCCACAGGGTGATGAGGCGATTTTTGAGGTGCCTCAGAATCAGGCCACCCGCCCTCATCTTCCCCTCCCTCCCACCCACCCACCCCCCGCTCACCAGAGCGCAGTCAATCCACTCCTTGGCCTGCTTGCCCAGCCACGCCACCTGCTCCTCGTTCAGCTTCTTCGGATCCCCGTCCCCCCACTTGCCGTCCCACACGAACCCGTCCTTCACGCGGATGTGAATGCCCACCGTCGCCACTCCCCTCGCCTGCCCCCCCTCCCCCACCATGGCTGCGCGCAGCTGCTGCTCCATGCCCCTCACCAGCGCCTGCACCTCTGGCCGCGGACTGGGGGAAAGGGGGGGAAAGGGAGGGGGGAGGTGTGTGGGAGGGGTAGGAGGCAGGGTGCTTGAGAAAAAGAAGAGGTGGGTGGAAGGGTGTTTTGAAGGGGGGAGACCGCTGGCCGGGGGGGAGGCCCCCCTCCCCTCCCCCACCATGGCTGCGCGCAGCTGCTGCTTCATGCCCCGCTCTAGTGCCTGCACCTCTGGCCGCGGACTGGGGAAGGGGGGGAAGGGGGGGAAAGGGGGGGAAGGGGGGGAAAGGTGGGGAAGGGGGGGAAAGGGAGGGGGGAAGGTGTGTGGGAGGGATAGGAGGCAGGGTGCTTGAGAAAAAGAAAGAAAGGGTTGGTTGGATGGGTGTTCTGAATGGGGGAGACCGCTGCGCGTGGGGGAGGGGGAAAAGTGACTTTCACGCGAATGTGTATGCCCATCGTCGCCTCCCCCCCCACCTGCGCCCCCCCCCCTCCCCACCACCAATCATTGCTGCGCGCAGCTGCTGCTCCATGCCCCGCTCTAGCGCCTGCACCTCTGGCCGCGGCCTGGGGGGGAAAAGGGGGGAAAGAAGGAGAGGGGAAAGAGAGGGCGAGGGAAGCGGGTGAGGGGGGCGGGAAACTTTTGGAAGTCTTTCAAGCCCCCTCACCAGCGCCTGCACCTCTGCCTGCAGATTCCGGTGGGGGAAAGGGGAAAACAGGGGGGAAGGGAAGAGGGGGTGAGGAAATGGGATAGGGGACTTTTGAGAGGTCTCATGTGCCCTCCATTAGCTCCTCACATCCACCCCCTCTCCCTTCTTCCCCTCTCACCGCACTACCTCCTGCACCTCTGCCCGCGGACTGGGCTAGGGGAGAGGGAGGGGGGAAAGAGGGGGAAAGAAGGTGGGGGGGATGGGTGCGGGGAATAGGGGGAGTGGGTCACAGAATGGAGTGAGTGCGTGCGTGCGTGCGTGCGTGCGTGCGTGCGTGCGTGCGTGCGTGGATGCGTTCCCCGTCCCCCTTCCCCCTTCTCCCGTCACCCTCCGTCGCGCACACGAACAGGAACCGCAGAGAGAAAGCACCCAACGTACAACAGTATGCATTGACCTTTCCTTCCCCCTTTCCCCCCCTCCATTCCCTTCCTCCCTCCCCTCCTCTTCCCCTTTCCCCTCCTCCCCCCGTTCCCCCCGTCGCTCACGTGAACAGGAAGCGCAGAAAGCACCCAGCAGCATACAGCAGTCAGCATCACCCCCCTCTTACTCCCTCTTCCCCCCCCCCTCTCCCCATTCCCCCCTCTCCCCATTCCCCCCCTCCCCATTCGCCCCCGCCCCAGCCCCCCGCTCACGTGAACAGGAAGCGCAGGAAGCACCCCACAGCGTACGGCAGGCGCATGCCGATCTGGCTGAACCGCTGCGCCCACGACCCCGCGGCGCGCGTCTGCAGGTACGTCAGCACGCCGCGATTCGCGGCCATGCGCACATTAACCGACGCGTTCAGCTTCGAAAAATACGGCTCCAACTCCACGTACTTATTCCTCAACTCCACAAACACCACCTCGCCGGGCGTCGCGGGCTCGGGCCGTCCCATCCACGACTGCGGGCCGTTGATAAATCGCGACGGCTCTAACGGAACGTCAGGGGAGATTACCCAGTCGATTAGGTTCGGCTGGAACGCCGCGGGGAGACACGCGTGGCGGATGATTAGCGCGCGGTTGTCTAGGACGGCGACTACGAACGCGGCGATTAGACCGACTAGTACGTCGCCGTACCCGCCGCACCCGTTCAGCCACTCGAAGGTTAGGAACCGGATCGACGGGTCGTACGGCGGCGGCGCCGCTTCCGACGGCGGCGCTGCGGCGGCGGCAGCGGCGGCGGCGGCGGCGGCGGCGGCGGCTTCGGCGCCGTCGGGCGCGGACGGAGCCGCGGCGGAGGGGGGGGCAGCAGCAGCAGCGGCAGCGGCGGCGGCGGCGGCGGCGGCGGCGTCGCTCTGGAGTCGAGCCGCGTATGCGTCCTTACTGGCTTGGCGGATGCGCTCGTGCAGCGCCATGTACTGGCCGGGCCACGAGCCGCACATCTTGTCCGAGTCGCCAAAGTCGAAGTCGAGGAAGGGCGCCGCGTACTCATTCATCTGATGCGCCTGGTCCGCGGGGATTGCCGGGATTGCCGGGATTGCAGGGATTGCGGGGATTGCGGGGATTGCAGGGATTGCGGGGAGTTGGTAAAATCGAGAGGTTGGAAACGCTTGAGCCAGCAGCAATCGCGCCATCAACAATCGGCATCAGGGACAGGAGCGACAGGAGCTTGGAGCTTACAGAGGTGCACCGTGCAGCAACAAGGCACGCCATCGCGTTTTATGCGGTTCTAGATGCGGCATCGGAGACAGCGGGGAAAGGAGGAACAGGAGGAACAGGAGGAACAGGAGGAACAGGAGGGACAGGAGCTTGGAGCTTACAGAGGTGCACCGTGCAGCAACAAGGCACGCCAGCGCCAAGACCGGCAAGGACGCGAAGGCGGCCGCAGCGCCAGCGCCGGGCGCGAGGTAGCGACGGCGCCGCCGCCGCGGGCCGTGCGGCGACCGCAGGTCACGCAGCGCACCCATGCGTGCGTATCCGGCGGTCGGCGCGGGTGGTAGAGTACGGATTGAAAGTACCAGTCTTAACTCCTATGATCGTCAGACGTCGACTGAGACGCAGCACGTTAGACAGCGAAATGAGATCAATGCACCAGCCTGAACGCCATACTTTGCGGGCCGTACTACCAGCACTCGAGGTACTACTGCGCGGAATTTTTCTCCCAGACGTAGAAAAGAGAAAGCACCGTACTTGCACTAGTGCTAGCAGGTATTGGGGTGGGCAGGCACGTGGGTGGGTGGTACACTGGTATGGGTGACATGGCAGAGCGAGGGTTGGTTTGCGGATGGTGCTGCAACCGCAACTACATGTGGGACAGGGGGGTGGAGCTGGAGCAACCGCCTGGACGAGCACGTTGAAAAGCCTCGGTTTATATCGGTTTGAGTTTTTTTCGCTGGGAGTAGATTGGGTCGGGCTGGGTCAGGAAGAGGTAACACCTGCGAATGTGGAGTCAAGGGAGGCTTGGGTGTGGTTCAGGTCAGCTCAGGTCAACTAGACTCCAAATGGGAGATCCTCCAAATTTGCCAGCCAGCAGTTGGCCGACGTTACACGATATTTTCCCAGTATTACGCGGTACGATCCAACTCGTTACATGCAACGAACATCTTTCTCAGCCTCCATTTCAACTATGTAAAACTGGTCAAAACAGAGTAAGGTTGCTATCACTTAACATCGCCTGTTGGCGAGGCCGATACGGTAAATAACATATGCAGCAATCAACTAGCACGCGTATAACATGATTTCTGAAGATATGGAAAGGAACATATGGACACTTCACTGCAGCATTTCCCTGTTTTTATGCCCTGATTCTTGCTCATCCTGCCACATCAGTACTGCACGGGCTCGCCTGTCATCAATCCTCCATGGACACAGCCAGCCCAACTCCAGCCAAAAGCCCTCCGCTAAAGAGCATAAGCAGCGCAAATAAATTATCAACCCAGCCAATGAAAGGCAGCCAGTTGGGGATGAGGTCCCACGGCAGCAGCAGGTAGAATAGAGCAGAGCCGGCGAGGGCAAGACCAAGGGAGAAGAGGGATTTGTCTGAGGCAGTCGCCCAGACGATGGGGGTGAAGAAAATGGCGAGGGAGAGCAGCAGCTGGAGCAAACAGCGCTTGGCGAAGCTGATAAGGCCCATGCGATAGCAAGAGGAGTGGAGGAAGACGGAATGAGATGAGAGGAAGTTATGGAGGGTGTCTGGTGGAGAGGGAGGAAGGGAAGGAAGAAGAGGGGGAGGAGGGAGGATGTAGGAGGAGAGATTGGCTAGTTTGAGGACCTGGTGATGCGGCAAGGAGAAGTAGGAGATGAAACAGATAAAGGATCACGAGTAGGAGAGTTTTGATTAGGCAACCAGAGAATTGCGCGGGGGGAGGTGGCATCACAAAAAGCAGCAACAAAGCAGCCTGCTGTACAAAGACTGCAAATGGGATGTGCGCATGGCAAAGTGGTCGAAGCTATTGAACTAAAGACAACGACTGGGGGGCAGCGGCAAGAAAGCGTACAGTGCGTGAATTTTGTTCGCGTAGTGGTTGTGTGCTGTGTAGGCGCAAAAAGTAGTCCGGCAATGAGTGTGACGAGCTGGAAATTTGTTGCGATGCTGTAGCTTTGTTATAAGCAAACTCACACGCAAGGAAGTCAAGGAGAGTTCGCGTGAATGGCCGACGGGAAATGGGTAAGAAGGGGTTCCGACTAAATAATATACCGAAAGGGCACTGGAGATGGGCTTCCCAGCGAGTAACAATTCCACTTCTATTACTCTGGGACTGGAACGTGACTGACGGAGCCAGCCTGGACTTGGAGGGACTTGCGCTTTCGGAAACCAGCTTCGAAATTTGGCGGGTGAAGGAGGCGAGTCTGACGATTGTGCTTTGCAGCGGATCGGAGACCTGTTGGTTGGCACTGGAAAATTCTATACTCGCTATTCTGATTGTAGCTCAATGTTATGTACAAGAGGATTAGCAAATAGAGTGTATAATCAACAATCAAGATTATTGAAGTTTTGAATGGATCTTGGGAAGCGCTGGTTTGGTTCCCTAAGACATCCGCAAGGCGACCCCCAATAAGGCCCACCCACAGCAGTGCACTCTCCTCGAGGTCACTTCCTTCCATCGCAGCCGCACATCCACGGCAACAGTTCCGCGCAGCATGCGACTTCCCCGAGGCGAAGTGATCCCCATTTCCCCCCGTTCACTGCCCCTGCTGCCGCGTGCTCGCCTCCCGCTGCCTGCTGTTCTCCCAACGGACACATGCGATCCTCCACCCTCCATCACCCTCTTGTGTCCCCATCCACCAAAGCATACCAAGCAAGCACTCACAGCCAGCCCTTGGGTGGTAACCCTTTCTTTGCACAATTGCCTCGAGTCGCGGCACTTTTATGGCGGCTTCGCCAGGTGGTCACGCCGAATATTGTCAAATTTGAATGTTTCTGTTCCAGGGTTCTTGTAGAGTGAGGTCTTGTGCTGTTGTGGCTGCTGCAACCCCAACCCGCTGCGCATTACTTCTTGCGTTGGTCCCCTCCATCCTGGCAATAAATCGCACTCGCGGTCGCGCTTCATCTCGATTTTTCAGATCGATTAGCTACAAACGAAGCGTTTAGACAGTGGGTTCGTCATTTTCTTTTGATTTCGGATACTCCTCGCAGGGAGCTGCCATCACATCTGCACAAATTCTCTTGTCTCTCGCTCCTCACACCATCTGCGATGGTGGCTATTTCCTCTCAGAGGAGAGAGCGAGCTCTTCGCATGAAGGAGGCCGAGCCGTCGCCGCTTCCCGTGGGCATCCTGAGCGACCGTAAGCGAAAGAAAATGTCGTCAGGCGCGTCGCAGTCTGTCGCACAGCAACCATCTAGCGACGCGGGTGCGACTCATGGCTCGCTCTTGAATCTCCTCAGCAGCGTCATCCCATTCGCCTCTGATCCCGCCAAACGGCAACGGCTACATCCCGCGGCTAACTCCCTCTCCCGCGCCGCGGCTGGCTTCAGCAGTAGAGAAGGCGTTTCTTCCGGATCATATCCTCGCGGCTTTCACGCCGTGGATGGAGGAAGCAGCATGCCAGCGTGGCATGATGCTGATGCTGGAAAGGCTTCTGAAGCGGATATGGGTTTCGATGATCCAACTCACCCGAACAACGGGAGAAGATCCCGAGGAGGCACAGGTAGCGGGAAGGATCGAGAGGGAGGCGAGGAGGAGGAGGAGGTCGAGGGGGAGGAGGGACGGCAGGAGGGGGGAAGGAGCGGGTCGTTGACTGTGTATAAAGAACCGTTGGGCCCGCGTCACAACCTCTTACCCATGGCCGCGCAGTCTCTGGTTCAGCGGCTGATGCCACGTGGCATGAACGGGCCTGTGCGGCGGTCGCCGCAGTCGAAGCGGGTCGCTCTCGCCTCGCCTGGTGGGGCCGCGCAGCAACCGCGCGCGCACGCGATTATGCAGTCGCAACCGCAGGACCGGCGGCAGGCGCTTGCGTCGTCTCATGCGCAGGCGCATCCGCAGGCGTTGTTTTCGCTGTCACTCGGTGGAGCTATGGATTCGGACAGGCGGGGTGCGGCTGTCCAGATTATTTCGAGCCCATGGAGGTTAGAAGACGGAGGAGGAGAAGCAGCAGCAGCAGCAGGTGGAACGGGCGCAGTGTCGAGATTGTTTCATTCCCCAGGGCGAAAGGATCGGTGGACCGCGACTCTAGACAGGAAGAAGCGGAGGGAGTCGGGGGCGAGTGGGTCTGGGAGGAACGCGGTTGCGTCACCTGGAGCAGCAGCACGAACAGCACGAGCACGCGCAGCAGCAGGGGGAGGAGGAGGAGCAGGAGGAGGAGCAGGAGGAGGAGTAGGAGGAGGAGCAGGAGGAGGAGCAGGAGGAGGAGTAGGAGGAGGAGCAGGAGGAGGAGCAGGAGGAGGAGTAGGAGGAGGAGCAGGAGGAGGAGCAGGAGGAGGAGTAGGAGGAGGAGCAGGAGGAGGAGCAGGAGGAGGAGTAGGAGGAGGAGTAGGAGGAGGAGTAGGAGGAGGAGTAGGAGGAGGAGTAGGAGGAGGAGTAGGAGGAGGAGTAGGAGGAGGAGTAGGAGGAGGAGTAGGATCATGGGCACCGGACGAAGCAGCTGCAAGGTCGGTGACTGGCGCATGGATTGGGGTGTCGCGGAAGGTGGTCGGCGAGCAGTGGCAGCAGCAGATGGCGGATTATAAGCAGATGGCGGAGCGGCGCGCGCACATGACCCCGGGGGAGATGGAGCAGCAGAGGCAACGCTTCGAGGGGAGGCCGGGGCTGGACGAGCTTCTTGGTGAGACGGGCGGATAAAGGAAGGGAAGGGGAGTCGTTTTTCTTGTGAGCTCGAGAATTTCGTCTGTGTTCTTTCCCCCTGCCCCCCCTCCCTCCCTATCCTGCCCCTCGCATGTTCCTTCCGGAATTTCCCTTGCCCCTCCCCCTTTTTCCACTTCCCTCCCTCTCCCCTCATCCCCGCCTCCCCCACCCTTCAAACTCTCCTACTTTTTGTTCCTATTGCGTCCTTCATTGCCGCGTGCTTCCTTACAAACCAGCTTGTGCGCTATCCGTTCTCGCTCGTGCCCTCCATCCATCTCTCCCCACTCAACAGCCACAACTCCTCGCCATAACGGAGGGGTTGCTGGAAAGCCTTGGCAAGCCGAGCAAGCGGAACCAGTTGATTTGGAGGAGGGAGAGGAGGACGAGGAGGGAGGGGACGCTTGCGAAGAAGCGGTGTTTGGCGTTGCACCTATATTACCAGCAGCAGCAGCGGCAGCAGCAGGAGCAGCAGCAGCAACCCCTGCCTCTGGCGCGGCCGCTTCCGCCATTGCCCGTGCTCCTGCTCCTGCCATCGGTGCAACAGCGGCTGTGATTGATGCAAGTGTGGGAGCAGCGGCAGGCGCCGACCCCTCCGCTCTGGCCTCCTCCGCGCAAGCTGCTCTCGTGACAGTATCGACCTCTGAGCGCTTGCGCATGGAGCGAAATCGGAGCCTGCAGGAACGGAAGCTGCGCGTGCGGGAGAATGAGCATCAGGAGGAGGAGAGGAGGGCGAAGATGGAGGAGCTTGAGAGGGAGTTTTTGCGGATGGAAACGGATAGGAAGGGCACGAGGGAGCACGTGCAGGAGCGCAGAGCAGCAGCGGAGGAGCTACAGCGCGCGAAGGCCAAGGTGAGAGTCGAGAGTGGGTGATGTGTGTGTGTGTGTGTGTGTGTGTGTGTGTGTGTGTGCGTGCGGATGTTGAGAGGCATATGCATGACTGACCGGGGGAAGAGGGGAGGTAGGCGGTTGGGTTGGGGATGATGCGTTGTGGTGCATTTAGGGCGACTGAGAGAGAGTGAGGGTGTTGCAGCTGGAGCAGCAAGTTGAGAATCACAACAATGAAATATCGTTTCCTGTCTCTCCTTTATGTACATTCCTCCTCTCCTTTCCATGCCTCCTTCCTTCTCACCCCCTGCTTCTGTCTCCACTTCACTCCCCTCTCCTCCGCGCTCGTGCCCCTCCTCCCCTCTCCTCCCCTCGCCTCCACTTTCCTCTCCTCTCCTCCCCTCCTCTCTCTTCCTTTTTCCTCCCCTCTCCTCCCCACTCTTCCCTTCTCTCCTCTCTCTCTTCCCCTCTCCTCCTTCCCCTCCCGTCTCTTCCCCTCTCCTCCCTTGTCCTCCCCTCTCTCCTCCTCCCCGCCTCCCTCCCTTTCCACTGCCCCCCGCAACACAGCCCGTGGTGCGGGTGTTATCAGAGGAGGAGGAGAAGCAGGTGAAGCGCGCCTTCCAAGGGGGACACAGGTGCGTGCCGTGATAATGGGTGCTGGTGATGGGTGGGTGCTGGTGATGGGTGGGTGCTGGTGACTGGGCGCTGGTAGGTGATTAATGGGTGCTGATCGTTGATCCACACTGTTTGTTACCACCACACACAGGGGAGGGGATGCTGGTGATGAAAAAGAAAGAGGGTGCTGGCCTTGTTACTTAACGATGGCCCATCACCACCTGGTTGTTGGCCACGGGAGCATCTCTCTTTGTTGTTCTGTTCTGTCCGCTTAAAGATAGGCTCACCACTTGCTCGCGGCTCTGTGTCCTATCCATCCAAGTGCTTGCTTTCAGTTCTCAACCTACCGGCTGTGGTTTTTTTCACAGCTACCCTCTCTGCTCCCCCCCTCCCTTCAACCCCTCTCTCTCCAACCCCTCTCCCTCCCCCTTTCCATCCGTTTCCACCCTCCTCCCTCTCTCCCATGCCCTCCCTGATGTTCGTTGGCTGTGCAAGAGCCATTGCCTGTCACGTCCCTCTCTGCCCCGCTACACGTGCTACTCCCATCCCACGTCAACCCACCTTCCCCGTCCTTATACTATTGCCGCCCCTCCCTCCTTTCTTAAAAGAACGCTTCGTCCCCATCCCCGTATACTTGGCCCATTTAATGCATTATCGTAAACCCCTCCGTCTCCCATGCGTCCTCGCGCAGTGGCGAGGAGCTGGCGTTCCACGAGGGGGCGAACATCATAGTCACGCGCAACCTCATGCGCTGCCCCTTCAACCCATTCCCTGCATCCCCATCATCCCCTCTGTCTCTCTTGCGCCCTGGCACAGTGGCGAGGAGCTGGCGTTCCACGAGGGGGCGAACATCATAGTCACGCGCAACCTCATGCGCTGCCCCTTCAACCCATTCCCTGCATCCCCATCATCCCCTCTGTCTCTCTTGCGCCCTGGCACAGTGGCGAGGAGCTGGCGTTCCACGAGGGGGCGAACATCATAGTCACGCGCAACCACATGCGCTGCCTCATGCCGGGGGGATGGCTCAACGACGAGGTGCGTGGGGGTGGGGGACCTGTGGGAATGGGGGAAATGGGGAAACTGGGGGGAACGGCGGGGAAGGGGGAAGGGGGGGGGGGGGAGGAGGGATGAGGGCAACAGGGGCAACGGGAAGGGGAACAGGGGCAAGGGGGGAGTGGTATTAGAATGAGTGGCTGGGCAACTGCATCTCATGGGTTATTGAGGTTGTGTGTGAGGTGCTCACAAAGTGTGAACCTCTATCTGGTTGTGGTTGTGTGTGTGTGTGTATCTCGGGCAAGAAAGACCATACACAGTGTGTCTTTCTTGGCCCGCTTCTCGCTTATCCCCTCCACTCTTACCCGCTTCTCACTTCCCCCGCTTCTCACTCTCCCCCGCTTATCAATTTTCCCCACTTCTCACTGTGTCCCTCTTCCCCCTTCTCACTCTTATCCTTCCGTTTCCCTCTCCCCCGCGGTTCCCTCCGCCCCCTCCCCTCCCCCCGCCCCCTCCCCTGGCTCCTCTCCCTCTCTACCCCTTCCTCTTCCCCCAGGTGATCAACATGTACTTAGAGCTACTCAAGGACCGGGAGAGGCGCACACAGCAGCCCAGCAGCAGCAGCAAGGGCCGCATGCCCGTGTGCCATTTCTTCAATACCTTCTTTTACGCACGGGTCAGTCAGTGCAACGCAGTGCTGGGGGGAGGGGCGGGGGGGTATGTGGCGTTGCAGGGCAGGATCGCGATTAAATGGAAGTGGGAAGGTGGCATGCCCGTGTGCCACTTCTTCAATACCTTCTTTTACGCACGGGTCAGTCATCGCAACGCAGTGCTGGGGGGAGGGGGTGGGAAGAGGTAAGGATTTGGGGGATGGTGCAGGATTTGGGGGAAAGGTGTGGGGATTTGGGGGATGGTGCTGTACGGGGCAGGGCAGTAGGGGGGGAGGGGGCAGGAGAGCAGCTAAGGGGAGGGGGGCAGGCGGAAGGCCCATGTGTCACTTCTTCAATTCGTTCTTCTATGCGCGGATCACTGCAGTGCAGGGGGGAGGGGGCGGGAAGATGTGGGGATGGTGCAGGATGGGGCTGTACGGGGCAGAGCAGCAAGGGGGGGGGAGCAGGCGGAAGGCCCATGTGTCACTTCTTCAATTCGTTCTTTTATGCGCGGATCACTGCAGTGCAGGGGGGTGTGCGATGAAGGAGGGGAAGAGGGTGTGTGTGGGGGACGGGGGGGCATGCCTGCACTGCACTGCATTGTCCCGCACATAGAAGAACGAATTGAAGAAGTGGCACACAGGCCTTCCGCCTAGTGCGGGTGCGAGTGGGTTAGCGCGGGTGAGTGCGGTTAAGTGCAGTTGAGTGGGGGTGCGTTTTTTTTCTGCATCACGTTTCGGTGTTGCCAAGGTACTGCAGTGCAGTGCAGTGCAGTGCAGTGTCACGCGTGTGTGTGTGTATGTGGGGCAACTGCTCCCCCTAATCGTATGGGCATCGTGCTTGTGATGTGAGGCCGTGGCAGGGGGATGCTGTAGCATAGCAGCAGCAATAGCAGCCTTTTACGTCGACTATCCGTTCTTTTAGGCGCCTCAGAAATGGTTACCTGCATGCACTCTGTCTTTTGCGCATTATCTTCGTCCCTCTTCATTCCCCACTTCCCCCTCCCCACTTCCCCTTCCCCACTTCCCTGCTCCCCACTCGCCCTTCCCCCTTCTCCGTCCCCTTTTATCAAGCCTCTTCCTACTATTCTCTCCGCGTGCCTTTGCCTGTCCATGTCCGTGCACTCTGTGTGCGCGTGCGCATGTGTATATGTGTGTTTGCTTCTATATTCTTTCGCCTCTGCCTCTGCCTCTGCCTCTGCCTCTGCCTCTGCCTCTGCCTCCGCCTCCGCCTCCGCCTCTGCCTCTGCCTCTGCCCCCGCCTGCATGTGTCTATGTATGCACCCCCACCAGCTCACGGGCACGGGGCAGTACCTCTACAACTCAGTGCGTCGCTGGACCACGCCCAAGCGCCTCGGCTACTCACTCGCTGACTGCGACAAGGTGGGCTGGAACCGGGGCGTGGGCTGGGAGCTGGGACCACCTTTATTATGGGAAGAGACGGGAGGGGTAGAGGCGTGAAGGGGGAGAGGCTTGGGGGAACGAGGCTGGGAAGGAGCCGGTGTGAGGGGAAGTGGCATGAGGGTTCACAACTGTGTGCGTCACTGGACTACACACACCTAAGCGTTTAAGTTACTCACTCGCTGACTGACTGCTACAAGGTGCAAATGGGGCTGCTTGTGTAAGAGAAGAGACAGGTAGAGAGGGAGGGAGCGGCGTGAGCGAGAGAGTTGTGCGAGGTTGGTCCTTGATCTCTCTCTCGTCAGTGCGGAGGAGAAGGGGAAGGCGCAGCTGTAGGGAAGGAAGACAGGGCAACTATGTATGCTCGCAATCTGAGACTTTTCCATGACCGATGTCCCCCTCCCCCCTGCGACTTTTGAGTCGACTCAAAAGTCACCTCGAAGACAGGGCAACTATGTATGTTCGCAATCTGAGACTTTTAATGACCCATGTCCCCCTCCCCCCTGCCACCTTTAACTTTTGAGTCGACTCAAAAGTCAGCTGTAGGGAAGGAAGACAGGGCAACTATGTATGTTCGCAATCTGAGACTTTTAATGACCGATGCCCCCCTCCCCCCTGCCACCTTTCCGTCATTCCCCCTCTTGCCCTCTGTCCGTTTCCCACTCCGCTCTCTCTCTGTCTTCCCCTAAATCCCCTCTCCCATCTCCCCCTTACCCCCGTGCGCCCATCAGATCATAGTGCCGGTGCACCAGGGCGTGCACTGGGTGCTGGCAGTCATTGGGCCGCTTGATCAACCCCCCCCCCCCCCAAACCCTCCACGTTCTTCCGTGTCCCTGTCCCTTGCTCCCCCGTCTGCGCCCCCTCCCCCCGTGCGCCCATCAGATCATAGTGCCGGTGCACCAGGGCGTGCACTGGGTGCTGTGCTGGCGGTCATTGTGTCTCATCTTTCTCTGTGCCCTTCTTCCGTGTCCTCCGCTGTCCCTGTCCCTCATCCCCTCATTGCCATATCCCCTCAGGCCCTATCCCATACGCTCCCCTGCCTCCCCTGCCCCCATCCCCTTCCACCTCCCCCTCTTCCCTCTGTACCTGCCCTTTCCCGCCCCTTCCAACCCCCCCCCCCCGCCCCTCTATCCGCCCATCAGATCATAGTGCCAGTGCACCAGGGCGTGCACTGGGTGCTGGCGGTCATTGCCCCGCGGGACAAGCGCCTCATCTTCCTCGACTCGCTGCACGGCCAGGACCGCACGTGCCTTGAGAACCTGGTGCGTGGTGGGCGAGTGGGTGGGCAAGGGGGTGGGCAAGGGGGTGGGCGAGTGGGTGGGCGAGTGGGTGGGCGAGTGGGTGGGCGAGTGGGTGGGCGAGTGGGTGGGCGAGTGGGCGGGCGAGTGGGTGGGTGAAAGCTGAGTATAGTTAAGACACCCACCCACGCCGCTCTGAGGCGAAGCTCCCTGCACGGCCAAGACCGCACGTGCCTTGAGAACCTGGTGCGCTGGGAGGAAGGGGGAGCGGGGAGAGAGGGAGGGACAGGGGGGAGAGGGGAGTTAAGGGAACTTGTTGAAAGGTGCATGCAGAGGGGGTGACTGCACGTTCCTTGAGAACCCTGTGCAGTAGGCACTGCAGAGAGGGGGAGTGTCGGGGGAGTGTTGGGGGATGGAGGGGAGGCAGAGAGGGAAGGGAAGGGAGGTGGAGAGTTGAGCTGAGTGGAGTGGAATTCCTTGGAGACTTGTTGCATTCTGTGCGGCCTGCAGAGGATGGTGTGCCGGGCGATGGGTAGGTGGGTGGGTGGGGCTGGGGCTAACACCCCTGGATGCTTTTCGGAGTCCCTAATCGAGTCGTGTTTTGAGTCGACTCAAAACACGACTCATTACACGATGGGTGGGTGGGGTTGGGGCTTAACACCCCTGGATGCTTTTCGGAATCCCTAATCGAGCTCGCTGCCAGGCGTGGTAGGGGAGGGGACTGGCTGGCTGGCAGCAGTTGCCGTTGTAGTATTTATTTGAGCTACGCAACTGGCTGCACTGTGATGGATGCTGCTGCTGCTGCTGCTGCTGCTTCTGCTGCTCCTGTCCTATTTGTTGCTGAGCCGGCCCTCATTTCTGTCGTTTTGTTTCAATTGCAGCTGCCTTCAACCCCCCTCCCCCCCTTTTTCTCCCCCTCTCCCCTCCCCCCCTTCCCCGTCTCCCTCTTTGCGCCACTCTTATCGTCTCCCCTCCCCCCTATTCCTCTCTCTTCCCGTCTCCCCTATGCTTATTCCTCTCTACCACTCTTCCCTCCCCCCACCCCTCCACTCCCCCCCACCCCTCCCCCTCCCCCTCCACCCCCCCCCCTTCCCTCCCATCCCCCCAGGCGCGCTACTATGCGGACGAGGTGAGGGACAAGACAGGCATGGGTGGTGGACACGTTTCAGAATCCTCAAATGCGTCTCCAATATAGCTGTCCCTTCTTCCCTTTCCCCCTCCCCCCTTCCCTCCCATCCCCCCAGGCGCACTACTATGCGGACGAGGTGAGGGACAAGACAGGCAAGGGTGGTGGACACGAGTGGGAAACCTAGATCAAGACGTTAATGTAGCTGCCCCCTTCTCCCCGTCCCCCTCTCCTCCCCCTCGATCCCCCAGGCGCGCTACTATGCGGACGAGGTGAGGGACAAGACAGGCCAGGTGGTGGACACGAGTGGGTGGGAGCGCTGCTTCCCTCGGAAAATCCCCCAGCAGATGAACACGTGAGGCCGCAGGAGGGGGGTTGGGCTTGGATAGTGGGACAGGGTAGGGGGTGGGGCATGGGGTTATGTTGAGAGAAGGGGAGGAGAGGGGAGGGGGAGGGGAAGGGAGGGGATGGGGAGAGGGATTGAGGGGAGGGGAGGGACGTTTTCTTCTTTCCTACTGTGCAGTGCTCCTGCGCTCATCTCGTGTATTCCTTCCTTCTTCGGCTCCCCTCCCTCCTTAAGACTGTCAAGTGCTTGTCACCCCGTCCGCCCTTGGTGCCATGCCATGAGTGGTGCAGGTGGGACTGCGGGGTGTTCATGCTCATGTTTGCCGAGTGTGAGGCGCGTGCCATGGGCTCGCACTACAACTTCTCCCAGGTCCGTCCATCAGTCGGTCAGGCAGTCTGTCTGTGTTTGAGGCGCCTAAAAGAAATAGACTCCCCATATGCCAATTGCATGTTTGCCGAGTGTGAGGCGCGTGCCATGGGCTCGCACTACAACTTCTCCCAGGTCCGTCCGTCAGTCAGTCGGTCGGTCGGTCAGTCGGTCAGTGAGAGACAGCTGAGGAAGTGAGAGAGGGGAGGAGAGAGGAGAGCAGTGAGGAGAGAATGAAAGTGCATTGTCCTCGATTCTCCAAATCCGTTCTCCCTTTTGCTCCCCTGCTGTTACTCTCTCTTGTTGTCGCTCACACCTGCAGAAGCACATGGAAATCATCATGAAGTGCATTATCCTCAAACTTGCTGCCTCTCTCACCCGTCTTTCTGCCTCTCCCTCTCCCCCTGTTTATTGCTCAACCATGCATTACTTGAAAATGCGCATTATCCTCAAACCTCCACTTCCGTGCTACTAACCCCCTGCTTCCCAATTTCTCTCTGCATCCCGCTCCCCCTCTGTGTGTCGCTCACCCATACAGAAGGACATGGAATACTTTAGAAAGCGCATTGTGCTCGAACCTCCACGTTTGTGCTCCCCCCTGCTTCCCCCCTCCCCCCATCTGTGTGTCGCTCACCCCTGCAGAAGGACATGAGTACTGTAGAAAGCGCATTGTGCTCGAACCTCCAAGTTCGTGCTAACCCGTTGCTTCCCACTCTCTCTCTGCCTCCCCCTCCCCCTCCCCCTCACTCTGCCGCTCACCCCTGCAGAAGGACATGGATTACTTTAGAAAGCGCATTGTGCTCGATCTCATGAGGAAACACGTGGACTGAGGAGCACATGGCACTGCAACCATGACGTGACGTGGCACCCTGTTTGCTGATGTGGCATGGCACCCTGTTTGACGACGTGGCACACAGAGCGGGAATGTTTGCTGACATGATGACACGGGGCAGAGCAGAACAACTGACCAGCCAACGAAGGGGAGGGAGAGAGGGGGCAGGGAGGGGAGGAGTAGGGGGGGGGACAGGACAGCACCACATGTACATGCAGGTAGCTGATATGGAACTATGCACTTACCGCGTTCTATCTAAAGGGTTTTCCAAGAAGGGGGCTTTCAATAAGCGTGACACTGTGGTACTCTCTTGTTGGTTCATGCAGACAGACAGAGAGGTCAGCGGTGGCAAAGGATGGGTGTGTTTTGTCTTAGTGCTGGTACGGTCGGTATGTCCATGATGGCCTGTGATGGTGGTGCTGCTGCAGGAACGGTATGAGTTTTCACGAGTAATCGATTTACTGTCAGCTTAGTGAGGGTGCTAGCAGGTTATATGGAAATCATTGCAAGTAGCAAGTAACAACCTGGATTGTTTTGCTCCTACAGTACCAGCACTAACGAAACGACATAGTGTTGTCTTCCGAAATTGACTTCCAAGCTCCAGCTTCATCCGAGGGGTGGCGATGATTGGCTACTAAAGGAGCTGCTGTTATCGGATCATGATTGCGAAGTGGGCATAGTAGTATCCAAGGGGGTGAAAGCTAGCCAACGGTCTAGGACTCTTCGCAGGCCATAGCCCATACACTGCAGCTTCCCTTGAATATGTGAATCGTGAACTGCTGCGTGCACCATCACCACACAATCCCGCAAACAGCACCTTGCGCAATTCTGCGGTTTTGAGAATTCTCAAAAGCGACCTTGCGCAATTCCGCGCAATTGCACCGCTTGCGGAAGCCATGGCGCTCGCGTCGCTAGCGTGCGCGTCTCCTTCCATCGCCGCGTCCTCCCTTGCCTTTGCCGCAGCGCGCGCAACCTCCTTCCGCCGCCATTGCGGCGACGCCGCGCGCGCCGCTCTCGCGTTGCGCCTGCCACTCATGCGGCCGCCGTTCCCCGCGCTTCTCGCTGATCCCTCGGGGCTATGCGCGCGCAACCACCCCCCGTTACGCGCACAACCCCAACCGCAAGCGCAGTCGCAGTCGCAGCCGCGACCGCACGTCCCAATGGCGGCTCGCGGCGGCGGGAAGGGTTACGGGGTTAGCAGCGGAACGTCCCCTTCCAGGCGCAGTAGCGCGGGGGGACGTGGCGGTAGAGCGGGAGGAGGAGGGGGAGGCGGAGGCGGAAGCGGAAGGGGGGGCGGAGGGGGGTTGGCGGATGCGCGCAGCAGCGACCCCGCGGAGACTTTTGGGTTGCCGGAACGATCGGTTGCGCTGAACGAGCTCATGCGCGTGCGTACCTCCCCCCTCTCCTCCAACCCCCTCACCCCCTCCCTCCCCCCTTTTTTTCCCCGGATGAGCACTGAACGAGCTCGTGTGTGTGTGCGCCTCCTCGCCTTTCCCGTCCTCCCCCGTTCTTCAACCCGCTCCACTCTCTTCCCAAACCATCATCCTCCCCTCTTGGAAATTCCCCCCTTTTTCGTTCTCGAATCTCGTCCGGATCTCGAATTAGAGTTGCTTGAGAGTACTCTTTAAAACGTCCCCATTTTGTCCGGATGCCCCTCCATTTCCCCGCCTTTTCCGCCGGCCAATCAGGTGCTGCTAGAGGAGGAGATGCGGCCGCCGCACGAGCGCATGCAGCACGCGCGCGAGCAGCGCGACCTGGCGGAGGCGGCGCTGGAGACGCGCCAGCGCTGGGACCGGCGGCGGGAGGCGCGCGGGCGGCGCGCGGAGAAGCAGGGGCGCGCGGAAGCCGCCATGGACGCGATGGACGCGGAGGAGGCGGCGATTGCGGCGGCCATGGCGAAGGTCAAACCGGGCGACCCGAGCCAGTGAGTGGCGTGGCGTGGCGTGGCGTGATATGGTTTTCGCCAGTAGCGCGGACTCTCTCTTAGAGATACCATCCTCGACAAATCCGAGAAAATAACATTTTGCATATGAATAGCCGCAGTAACCACAACAGCCGCGACAGCTGCTCTGGCTGCGTTGGGTGCGAATGGCGAGGGTTCATCGGGGTTATGTAACCAAGGGAGACGAGCCGCGAGGCAGTGAGAGCGCCTATGGCCAGGGTGTGGTTTCGAGATCGAGGTTTAAACTGTTACGTCACGTGTCGTCTCGTGCCCCACCCTTCTCCGCCCCTCCACCCTCCCCCGCTTCCCCCCTTCCCTCCCCCTTTCCCCCCCTTCCCCGTCGCCCGCGCCAAGCAACCCACTCCCACCCCCTCGTCCCCACCCTTCCCCCTCCCCCCCTCGCGCCCCCGCTTGCCCCCCGCAGCCTCATCCCAGCGGAGGAGGAGCTGCAGATGTTCAAGGAGTGGGCGGCGCGCAAGCTGCGGGGCGCGCCCAGGGGCGCGGAGGGCGTGGCGGTGGCGCGCGGGCTGGCGCACATGCGGCACATGCGGCGCACGCTGGAGGGCGCGGCCAGGGAGGAGCAGGGCGCGCGCACGCGCGGAGACGCGGGCGGAAGCGGGGGCAGCGGGGGGATTGGGGAGATTGGGGGGAGTGGAGAGAGTAGGGAGGTTAAGGGACGCGTGGGGGCAGGGGGACGAGGGGACGGAGGGGAGAGAGGGGGAGGGGTGAGGGGGAGGAAGGGGAGTGAAGGTGGGAGGGTGGAGCAGGGGTGGGAGAGGGATCAGCGCGAGTGGGGGACGATGTGGGCCAAGGGGGGTGGGGGAAGGGTCGCGGGGGAGGGGGGGAGGTGCGGATTGGGGGATGGGGTGGCGGAAGTGGTTGCGGGGTTGGAAGAGAGGAGGTTGAAGAAGGGGGGAGGGGAGGGGGATGGGAGGAGAGGAGTCCGGGGAGAGGGGGAATGGGGGGCAGAAAGAGGGGAGAAGAGGAGAACATGGGGGGGAGAGAGGGGAGGGGTGGATACGAGGAGAGGGGAGAGCGGGGCGCATGTGAGGGGAAGGAGTTGGAGCAGTGGGGGGGAACGGAGGGGCGGAAGCAATGAGGGGGGCAGGAGCATGAGCACGGGGGGAGATGTAAGTAGCGTGCCGTGGTTGCGAGAGGGAGGGAGGTCGGGTGGAGGGGTGGGGGACTTTACGGATGGCGCAAGGGCAGCAGGGGCAGGAAAGACAGCAAGGGCAGGATGGGAAGGAAGGGAGGGAAGGGAAGGTGGTGGGGTTTGGGCTGGTGGTGAGGTGGTGGAGAGAAGGGGACGTGGGCGCATGGATAAGGGGGCGAGAGGCGAGGGGGGTGTGGGAGAGATGGACGGGGGGAGGAGGGCACAGCGGGGCGAGATGAGAGGGAGAGAGGAGATAGTGGAGAGAGGGGAGAGAAAGGAGATGGTGAGAGGGGGGCAGGGTAAGGGCAGGAGAGGGGAGGAGGAGGAGTGGGTGTGGGGCACAGGGAAGGGGAGTGGGGAGGGGCAGGTGCTGCCGTGGGAAGGGGGTAGGGAGAACCTGCAGCAGAGCAGCAGCAGCAGCAGTCCTGCGAGGGGGATTGGGAATGGGAATGGGAGTGGAAGGGAGAGTGGGAGTGGGAGTGTGGGGGAGGAGGAGAGGGTGGTGGTGGTGGGAGCGCCGAAGGGCGTGAGGGTGACTGTGGGGGCGGGAGGTTTCAGTGCTGCTGACTGGCTGGCACAGGTGAGACGTGGCGGTGGGTGGACCGTGGAGTGGAGTGGAGTGTAGGCGCACATGTCTTGTGCACAGCATGCACATATTCACATCCACATGCACATGCGCATGCACATGCACATTCAAACACACATGCACTATTAAATACGCATGCACATTCAGCAGATGCACGTGCACATTTGAGTACACATGCACATTCACATACACATGCACATAAAGGCACGCATGCGAGCACCCACAGCCACATGGCAGCAAGAGAGCAAGGCTGATGCAAATGTAACCTCGTGCACTCTACTGCGCACACACCCTTCCACCCTCCCCAACTCCCTACCCCCCTACTCATCCCTCTTCTCCCTCCCCCCGACCCACACACTCTTGGTCGACCATTCCTACTTCTCCTTCCCATTCCTCTCCCGTGCTCACCTGTTTTTCGCCTCACAGGATCCCAACCTTTCCTCCCTTCCTCCCTTCCTCCCTTCCTCTCTCTCCCTGCCCTTGCCCCCCTCCCGTCTCTCTCACCCACCCATGCAGGCCAACCAGAAGCAAACTCCTTCCTTCACCGGGCCCATGGGATCGCCTCTCTCTCCCCCGTTCTCTCCTCTTCACACTCACCCTGCTGCTGCCGCCCATCCATTGCTTAACAGCAACAGCAACAGCAACAGTGCACCCACCACCTCCTCCACGCACCCTGGAATGTCTCCTGCCCTCCGCGCACTCATCACTGGGCGTGCGGGTGTGGGTGCTGGTAGTGCTGCTGGGGGTATGGGGCTGGTTGGAGCTGATGCCTTTGCTGGGCAGAGGGGTTTTAGCAGCGCTGCTGGTGGGGGGGAAGGTGAGAGGCAGGGTGGGGAAGGCGGAGAGGGGGGTTTATGGGGAGGCGGCGAGAGAGGGGGCGAGAGAAGGGGGGAGAGAGCGGGGGAAAGAGGGGGAGCGGAGGGAGAGGGAGGAAGTGGGGGCGGGGGAAGGGGACAAGGAAGCAGAGGTAGGGGTACGGGGCAAGGCGCACGGCGCGTTGGAAACTGGGGGAATGGCGTGAGGGGAAGAGCCATGGGCGGGGTAGAAGGAGGGACTGTCCTGAGCAGGCGAGGAGGGCCGCTGGGGGGAACTGCCGCGTATGGGAGTGGTATTGGGTCGGAAAAAGGCTGGGTGCGAAGCATTGGGGGGAGAGCAGGGAGTGTGACAGCAGGTGCTGGTGGTGGGGCGGAGGGAGTGGGTGGAATGGGGGAGGATATGTGGGATAGACTGGAGAGTGAAATGAGTGCAAAGATTGAGGAGGGGGCAAGGGGAGATGAGGGAAAGGGCAAGGAAGAGGAGGAGAGTAAGGTGCAGAGAGTCACAGGGATACAAGGCAAGATATCCAGTAGTGCCATGCCTGCTATGCCTTCCATGCCAGCAGTGGTGAGCATGAGCACATCTGCCACTTTCCAGCCCTTGACCCGCCCTGCCAACCCCTCCCCCCCTGCCACAAGCCCCTTCAACACCATCAGCACCAGCAGCAGCAGCAACACCGCCAGCAACAGCAGTGGCACTACCAGCAGCACCAGCAGTAGCAGTGCCCGTTGGACACGCGGCCCCATCTCCCCTCCCCTTGAAGCCCTCCTCTCCTCCTCCCTCCCGCCCCGCTCTCCCTCCCAACCCTCCCCCACACGCCCCCTCGCCTCCTCTGCACCACCCCCACTACTACTACAGAAACCAGCCACCACAAGCGACCCCCCATTCACTCTCCCGGACAACCTAGACGGGCCAGCAGGGTCCGTATTCCTGATCGACAAGCCCAAGACCTGGACGTCCTTTGACGTGTGTGGGCGCCTGCGCCACCTCCTGGGGATAAAAAAGGTGGGCCATGCAGGGACTCTCGACCCCATGGCTACCGGCCTGCTAGTCGTGTGTGTCGGCCGCGCCACCAAACTCGCAGACACGTACCAGGCTCAGGAGAAGGAATACTCTGGGGTGATGAAGCTGGGTGAGGCGACCCCGTCGCTAGATGCGGATACGGAGGTGTGTGAGAGGAGCGAGTGGGAGGGGGTGACGGGGGAGAGGTTGAGAGAGGCTGCGGAGGGGTTTCTCGGGGAGTGCCTGCAGGTGCCGCCGGCGTTTTCGGCGCTGAAAGTGGGCGGTGTGAGGGCGTATACGATGGCTAGGAAGGGGCAGGATGTGGAGCTGAAGGCACGGCCGGTGCGGATCGAGGCGTTTGATGTGTGGCGGGAGGGGGACGGGGAGGGGCGTGCGGGGGAAGACGGTGGTAGAGACAGCGGTAGCAGCAGCGGCAGTGGCGGCGACAGCAGTGACAATAGCAGCAGCAGTGACAGCGATAACTCTTTCTCATCGAGCCAGTACGTGCACTTCCGAGTGGTGTGCTCCAAGGGCACCTACATTCGCACTCTACTGGCCGACCTCGCACAGGCCGTAGGCACAGTGGGGCACCTGGTTGCGCTGAGGAGGGAGAGGATCGGGGACTTGAATGTGCGGCGCGCTGTGAGTGTGGATGAGGTGGTGCAGGCGTGGATTGAGAAGCATCCTGGGGAGGAGGTGCGCGGAGGGAGAGGGGCGAGAGGGGAGGGTGGGGGGCGGGGAGGGAGAGGTGGGGGAGGGAGGAGGGGTGGGAGAGGGGGAGGGAGGAGGGGGAAGGGTGGGAGGGAGGGTGGGTTTGAGGGGAAGGAAGGGTAGTGAGTGGATGGGATGGAAGTGGAGTTGGAAGGATGTGGTTCGAAGGAGTGGTGAACAGTTATTGTAGTATGTGCTGTTGGTGGCGTGGCGAACACAGGTGGTCAGAGGGATACCGTGGTGGTTGCGCAGACACGAGATGTGTTATCAAGTGGCCTGTGTGCTGAATGCTACCATACTATTGAAAGAAAAAAATCGATTGACCACACTTAGAGTTTGCGAGGGAGTGGGGCAGTGATGATGACGAGACATGAGGTCATCATGTGGTGATGAGAAGAGAGCAGCGCAATGTGCTCTATATTAATGTACTCTGTTATTATTAAGGAATTTCCGTTTTCGTGTATTATTGCAGCAGTGAATGGTAGGGAACTATAATTTCTTACTGTAGTCGTACTTTAGCAAGTACAAACCGAAGGTCTCGCGTCAGTTGGTTCGGCCTGCATTTCCACCCCGAACCAGTCCCGAGTCGCCACCGCACCTTTTGCGACATTTCCGAGCCTCATGTACCGCGAGGTTTTCGCCTAGCCTCGATTCTGCCTACTTTAGCTCGTTCAGCCTCGACATTCTTCCAATCAGCAGACTTTAGTGGCATTCTTTAGTTGCCTACCTCAATGCACTTCAGTCCATTTCTGCCCTCACTCGCAGCATTGGGGGAGGGGAACATTTGGGCGACCATTCCCCTGCGGGTCGTACAGCTTGTGGCGCTGTACTTTAGAGCTCGATGCCGTGCGATACGAAATTGATCTCCAGAAAGTACGTCCTCCGCAGTTCACGTTACGCGTACAGCTTCGCCGAGCTTCGCCGAGCTCTGCCGCGTACCGTCGCACACCGTCGCGCACCGTCGCGCGATACCACCCTTCCCCATTCTCCGCCCCTCGCACCGCCTCCTCGAGTCCTGTCCATGCCTCTCGAACTCATCAGTACCAGCTATTCAACACGGCTCAAAACTAGCGTTCGTGGTTCCTTTGTCATATTTTACAAGGCAACTCGCGTAGCCCCATTGCACGCAGGTCGTTTTCTACCATCCTAATAAGCGACTCGCCGCGTAGCCCCGCGGCAAGCATCGTCCATCAGAGAGACTACCGTGGTAGAATCACGTTCGAGAATTCTCAAAAGCGACGGACTTATAATCATTTGTAGCACCGCACCACGTCTCTCGTCTCAATCCTCTCTGTGCATCGCACCTCGTACTGCTCTCCATCCGTCGTCACTCCCCCCCTCGTGCCCGCTGCTTGCAGTAGTTGTCGGCCCAGCCTGCTTCCGACTGCAGTGCCAATTCTCGCTGCCAGACAGCATTGTGAAGCCCACCCGAAACCCGACTGAAACCCACCTGAAGCCCACTTGACGCCTACTTCTTGCCTTGTGACCCGTGCTGCCTTGTGCTGCCCTGTGCTGCCCTGGCACAGGACTTGGTCGACGGTGTGCAGTGCAGCGTTTGGAGCGAGGAAAGCCATTAAATCCATTTACGGAGCAGCAGTAGAGGGGCTGCAGAGGCTATGGAGGCAGCCGTGAGGACGCTCGGCGCGCAGCTGGCGGAGATGCGGGGGGGACTGGCGGACACGCGGAGGGAACAGGCGGAGATGCGGGGGGAACAGGCGGAGATGCGGGGGGAACTGGCGGAGATGAGGGAGCTGCGCGCGCAGATGGAGGAGATGAGAGCGATGGAGCAGCGAGTGCGAATGGAGGTGGCACAGGCGCGGGAGGAGAGGCAAGCAGGAGCGTATGAGTTGCGGCAGCAGCTGACAGGAGTGAGCGCTGCAGTGGCGGAGAGGGGGAGAGAATCAGGGGAGATGGCTCGGGCTATCAGTGCGCTCCAGGGCAAGGTGCAGGGGGGTATGCGCAGCCGTGCAAGCAAGGGGGAGGTGGCGGCAGTGAGGAAGCGGCTGGGGGGAGTGCGGAAGGGTGTGATGGGCGCGGTGAGAAGGGAAGTGGCAGCAGCGGTTAGGGCGGAAGTAGCAGCAGCAGCGAAGGCACCAGGGGCAGAGGCGGTGAGGGCGGAAATGGCAGCAGCGAGAGGGGAGAGGGGAGGAGCGCAGCTACAGGCGCAGCGAGAGGAGTGTGGGAGTGAGTTTGAGCACAAGGGTCGTGTGGCACAGCTGTCGCAGGAGAAGATAGCTCTCCTGTGCGAGAAGGCTGCTGCAGAAGCAGAGGTGAAAGAGCTTCGGGAGGCATTGGGTGCTGCAGTGCGGAGGAATGATCAGATGGGTGCTGTGCTGGCGGGGAGAGAGAGGGAGCTGGCTCAAGTGAAGGAGGAGTTGACAACGGTGAAGGAGGAGTTGACTGCGGTGAAGGAGGAGTTGACTGCGGTGGTGGCATTGAGGCAAGCAGAAGCGACAGAAGCGAGAAGGGAGTTGGACGTTAACAAGAAAATCAGGGAGAGCAGAGGGGAAGAAAGGAAGGCATGGCAGGTAAGTGTGAACATCTCCGATGTTCTTTTATTCTGCTAGTGAATGAAACCACCTCCATCCAACAACGTATCTGCACACATCTCCTCCTACTTGACTCCTCCTACCCGTGCTGTTGTCTATCCTCCATCCCCTCCCCCACCCTCCCGCCCCCCATCTCCCCACCGCTCCAGGCTATCAAATTAGCGGCACAATTCAACGACAGAACTCTCGTTCTGTCTGGGTTTCCCTGCCTGTCAGATGCCATGCTGGGCCATGTATCCACCATGACCCACCTGCAGTGCATTCATCTGGACGAATCCTCAGGGTTCAGTGCAGACGGCATAAGGCAGCTCTACCGCCTGCCGTGCTTGGCACAACTGTCCTTCTGGGGCGCAGCAGTGACAGACGAGGCTCTCCAGGGCATTGAAGCATTGATGGACCTAGATTACCTCTATCTCAGCGAAACCGCAGTGGGCGATGCGGGTCTGCAGCATCTCACAGGCCTTGTGACTCTGGAGCAGCTGGTTCTCACTGAATGCTGGCGGGTTACTTCAGCCGGCATGGTGCATTTGGGGAAGCTGACGAGCCTTCGGTTTTTGAATCTGACGGAGACGAGTGTGAAGGAGGATGGGCTGTGGCACTTGACTGGCTTGGCTGAACTGTGCTCGCTTGATCCACCCAAAGGGATTTGTATGAGCCAGGAGCAGCTTCGCAAGCGGTTAGGTATTGATCAAGGAGGGGAATAGACAGGATGGAGGTGGAGGGGAAGTCTCTGTCCAGTTTGGGGTTGTTGTGATTTACCCAGTTGTGATACATACATGTACCGGCACTAAGACCCTCAGTTTGGAGTTTGGAATCTTTGTCAAGGGGTGGGTTGGGCGGGCTGAGATAGTGGCGAGAGTTTTGAGAGGCTTGGGGAGGGGTTAAATAACAGGGAGGTCTAACTTTATTATACTCAAATCAGCAATTGTGAAAGTCTACTTAGGCTGACTTGCAAAGGCAGCGTTATCATTTCATATGGGGTTCTAGTACATCGTTCTCGTCGTATACAAGTCTACATAACAGCATACACAATGGGGTGGGCGGGTGGGAAATTAGAACTACAAATTGAGAAATGAAAACGTGGGTGGGGACGAATGTCCCCACGTCCCTCTTTTGTAGGCAAAAGAGGGTGAGTAGCGCTTCGGCGCTACCTTTGCTGTGTTGGCCACGTACCCCTTTCACAATACAAAATTTTAGAAAGTGTTACATTTCATTACACTTTCAAAAATTATCATATTGTGAAAGTCTACGTAGGCTGACTTGCAAAGGCAGCGTTATCATTTCATATGGGTCTTCTGAGGCAAGTGCAGTCGGGGCTGGCGGTGCCGTTCGATTGATAGCTGATGCGTGGCGGGTGAAGGAGCCGCCGAAGGATCCTGCAACTGCGTGGAGAGGGAGATGAGCTGATCCTGCGCGATTGTATCGTACATCTCCTTCGCGCTGTCGCTGCGCCATCGGCCCATGCGTTTGAAGAGCCGGTCAGGAACTCCGAGGCTTGCCGCCGCAGTGGCTGCGCCTTTGCGGAACGAGTGGGTTCCGATGTGCGCGACATCCAGTCCAGCCTGCCTGCCGGCCGCGAGACACCAGTTTCTGATCGTGACGTAGGATGGCGATTTGTCGCCCGGCATGGCTTGCGAGTTCTTTGGAAAAACCCTTATTAGCGGTCCATGGGGCACCTTTGTGAGGCCTGCGATGCGTATGAATTTGCGTGTGCACCGCACTGGGCAGTATGGGCCGGAAATTGCTGCCACTGGGATCCAGACACCCCTCCCTTCCTGGTCCGTCTTGGAGTGCGGGATGAGCAGCCACATTGCCTTCTCCTCGAACTGTACATCATTCCACTGGAGCGATACGAGGTCAGAGTAGCGCAAGAACGCCGAAAACATGAGAAGAGGAATCAATCCTTTCTGGTATTCCGCAGGAATCGATGATTCGAGGAAGGGACGGGCCATGTCGTGCACTTGATGGAGAGATATGGGTTCTTTGGTCCTGGCAGGCCGGGGACCATGTCGCTTGGCGAACTCTCGCACTTGCAGGGTGAATGGTCCGATCGTAGGGGAGGCTTCGCCTGTCATGCGGTGGGCGAAGGCCACTGCCGAACATGTGAGGTTTATCGCGGAGAGAGTTGCCTTGTTGTTGAGCGCATGGATGAGATACAATGCTAGCGTCAGGTCGGTTGCCGGTAGGAAGTCGAGCTTAACTTGGGTACAGAAGGTGCGAAATCTCTGCCAGTAAGGTTGGTACGTCTCGATTGTAGATGGTGCGCGAACGTGACTAATTACGTGCATCAGTTGTTGCTGTAGTTTGCCCAACAGTCCTGAAATGACACATTAATGGATTGTATCAGATTGCATAGTTTACACGCAAAGCAATGATTGGGCTATGAGGCAATCCGAGACCAGAAAATGCAGTGGTGTGTGAACCTGCCCGAAGGCATTGACTGCCTTGGGCAATGGCAAGGTGTGCCACTACAGCTGGGGCCCACGCTTGGGTGGACGGTTGGAGAAGCGGCCACCATGACGCCCCGGTCCACTGGGGAACTACCAGCGTGAGATCCGCCTGCGTGAGTTCGGCATGGCAAAGTGTAGCGGGGACTAAGTGTGGCGGCGGGAAGGCAAAGCATCTCTCGCCTTTCCAAGAGATGGAAAATGCATCGACAGCGAACGCGTCGGGATGCGGTATCTTGGAGCAGAAGCGCTGAACTTGTTTGTTCCGGGCGTTGGCAAATAGATCAATTGTGTGGGGCCCCCAACGACGGTCTAGGAGGCGAAACCAGGGCGCGTGAAGGGAGTAGTCGTCATGATCTTGCAGCTTGGATAGGTCATCTGCCTGGACGTTGAGCTCTCTCGGAATCCATTCGATCGCGAGGCGTGTGGTGTTGCCGAGGCAGAACTGGATGATCGCTTGGCATGTCAGCGTAAGGTCCGCCTGACGGGATCCCCCCTTGCGCAAGATGAACATAACTGCCTGGTTGTCCACCCGGACAAGGACGTGAGCACCTGCAATTTGGGTTGCGAACGTCTGCAGTGCCCAGAGCACTCCCTCGAGCTCTCGTCGCGTGCTGGATGTGAGGAGGAGCTCGCGTGGCATGCATTCGCTTGCTTCGCATGATGCACTGGGGAACTTGGCCAAGGTGGCACCCCAGCTGTGTGCGCTTGCGTCGACGTGGATCACGGCATCAAACCGTTGACTCTGGTGGAATGGGGCACCATTGAAACGATCGAAGTGGACTGTCCAAAACAGCAGCTCCTCCGTCGCTCCTGGTGACAATTTGACCCTCGCGTTCCATGACTACGCGGAGTCGATCAAGTGCAGCAGCTCATGGCTGAAGGCACGCGCCGTCGTGCCTAGTGCGAGTGACATGGAGCTTAGAACTCCGGTGATTCGGGCTATCTTGCGAATCGGCACTTGTCGACCCGATTGCCCTTTTTTAACGAGTAGGTGGAGCTCTTGTAGTAGTTGCTCGCGCCGATCTTCTCCGATGAGGAACATCCCTCGTTCCGTGTCGAGCTCCATCCCCAAGAAGCGCAAGTGGTGTGTAGGATGCAGGTTTGATTTCTTAGCATTTATCACGAATCCCGCCGCCTTCAGGTCTTGGAGAACTTCAATGCACGTCGAACGGGCTTGCGTCTCGGAATCGCACAGGAATAGTAAATCGTCCACGTACGGAATTACGCGCACTCCGTGCGCCGCCATCTCTTGGCCAGTTGCTTGATTAGCTGGGTGAAGACGAACGGGGCTGTTGCCAAGCCGAAAGGTAAGGATGTGAAGCAATAGAACTTGCCATCCAGTTGAAAGCCCAAAAACCTCCAGCAGGATGAGTGGATTTCGACATGGTGGTAGCCTGACTTCAGATCGATGGTGAACATCCAGTCGTTTGGGCGAATGATCTCCGCGACCCGACCCAAGCCCTCGTACTTGAACTTGGGAACTTGGAGGTGAGCGTTGACCTTCCGCAGGTCAAGAATGAGACGGCATTTGTCTCTTTGCTCGACAACATTGAGCGGGCTAATGCATGTCAGTGTTGCTTTCGACGAGACCTGTACCGCGGCTCCTGACGCGATGAGGTCGCTGACGGCTCCTTGGGTGAAAGCCATGTGTGCTTGAACCCCTGCGTGATTGAGGGCTTCGAAGGGGGTTGGCTCCGCACCCTTCCATGGTAGCCAGTACCCTTTAGCAATGATGGAAAGGATGAAACTGCTGTCACACCATGATAGCCACCAGTGGAGGCTGTTGCGCAATCGCCTTCGCATGATGGACACCATGTTGTCCGTTATTGCATGCTCGTATGGGTCCCAGTGAGCGTCGTGCCACTCGCCTTCGTCGTCATTATCCGAGTTGTCGCTGTCGTCAATTGCAGGAGCTTGAACTGGTTCAGTAGGCAGGGCGGGCGCAGGAGCGGCGGTGGTGGCGCGAGCGACCTTGGTGGTGCGAGTTGCAACGACTTCTTTCTGCTTTTCCGTTTTTACGGGCGCAGAATTATAGTCTGTCGATGTAGCGATTGTACCGGGCGCCTGCTGCTGCAATAGCGAGAAAAGCGCCTGCAGCTGCTGGGCAGTCAAAGGGGGGGGGGCGTTGACTTGCGCGACGTCAGCAGAGGGTGCCGCGCGCTGGCGTTTCTGGGTCGTGGGCCCGGGTTGACCCGCGTCAGCCGCGGTCAAGACGGCGGCCGCGTCAGCGGCCGTCGTCATCTTCTGCAGCGCGCGCGCGTGCCTGCCTGCCGGGCACGCGCTCTTCAACAGTCACGCGCGGCTGCTAAGCAGCCGCGCGTGTGTCTTCTGACGCAGCGCGAGGGGTGCCGCCGAGCAGAACTTCGACAGCCGAGGGTCCCTCGGCGGAAAGTTCTTCTGAGCTCCGTTTGCCGCGGCGATCGTTTCCCCCGGCGGGAATTGAAGTTTCTCCCGCGTTACCGGGGCTTGAAGTAGTCGCGTTGTTGCGGTTAAGCGTCGAGTTCGCCGGAGCCATATTAGCTAAGTTGCGCTGAAGGATATCGTTTAGGAGTGCTGTCGGGGCTGTGAAGCGCGGAAGGGATTGTGTCTTCGCCAGAGTGACGAGAACGAGAAATTAGAACTACAAATTGAGAAATGAAAACGTGGGTGGGGACGAATGTCCCCACGTCCCTCTTTTGTAGGCAAAAGAGGGTGAGTAGCGCTTCGGCGCTACCTTTGCTGTGTTGGCCACGTACCCCTTTCACAATACAAAATTTTAGAAAGTGTTACATTTCATTACACTTTCAAAAATTATCATTACTGTACATCACTTTTAAGGGAGCCACAACACAGTTGCAAGGAGCTTTTGGAATAGACGGGTCTTATATCCGGGAATAGGGTAATCACATTCTCGATAGTCGTTTACTTTGAGCAGCCTGTGAGTTCATTGATAACACGTAACATGCGAGGAGAGAAGCACCGTCATGCACCGTCGCGCAGTAGCACCCTTTTCCGTTCTCGTCGCATCCCGACCCGATTCCTCCCGACCCGATTCCCGCCCGTCGCGCCGCCACCTGGAGTCCCGCTCATGGCCTCCCACAGTCACCCAGTACTAGTTTTCTGAAACGCAGTAAAGCGAAGATCCTGCGGTTCTCTTCTCATCCTAGAAGGCAACTCGCGTGGCTGCTCTCGTGTGTCTCTCCCTCTATGGCCCCTTTGTTAGCAACGATTTACTCTCTTCTCGTGTCTCTCTCCTGCTGCCTCTCTTTTTAGCATTGCTCTTCGGTGCGCTGCAAGAACTGTCGTCCCATCGGAGAGACGCCAATCTCGAGTCCCGTGATTCGATGGAGAGACGACATTCTAGCACTAAACGACCGCACCTGCCTTCTCAATCCTCTCCGTGCATCGTGCCTCATGCTCTCCATCCGTTCTCACTTCGCAGGCCCTCCGGTTTGTAGCGCCTAATATCGCCTCCTGTTTGTTGATTCATCCTCGTTCATTCACATGCACCCCCTTGGCTCTGCAAACTCTCCTCCTAGTCATCCATCTTCTCCTCGCTCTTACTCATGCCCTCTGTCGGACAGCCTTGTGAAGCCCACCTGAAGCCCATTTGAAGCCCACCTGAAGCCCATTTGAAGCCCATCTGAAGCCCATTTGAAACCCACCTGAAGCCCATTTGAAGCCCACCTGAAGCCCACCTCAAACCTCCCTGGATATCCACCTCTTGCCTTGTCCTGACTCGTACTACCCGTGCTGCCCTGTGCACTGGGCTTGGTCAGCGTGTGCTGTACAGCGCTTGGAGCGAGGGAAGCTATCAAATCCTCTTACGGAGCAGCAGCAGGAGAGGGGCTGCAGAGGCGATGGAGGCGGCAGTGAGGGCGCTCGGCGCGCAGCTGGCGGAGATGCGGGGGGAACTGGCAGAAACGCGGAGGGAAATGGAGGAGATGAGAGCGATGGAGCAGCGAGTGCGAATGGAGGTGGCACAGGCGCGGGAGGAGAGGCAAGCAGGAGCGTTTGAGTGGCGGCAGCAGCTGACAGGAGTGAGCGCTGCAGTGGCGGAGAGGGAGAGAGAAACACGAGAGGTGGCTCGGTTTTTGGGTGCACTCCAGGGCACGGTGCAGGGGGTGCAGGGGACGATGCGCAGCCGTGCAAGCAAGGGGGAGGTGGCGGCTGTGAGGAAGCGGCTGGGGGGAGCGCGGAAGGGCGTGATGGGCGCGGTGAGAAGGGAGGTGGCAGCAGCGGTCAGAGCAGAAGTTGCAGCAGCAGCAAGGGGGGAGAGAGGAGGAGCGCAGCAAGAGGTGCAACGGGGGGTGCAGCGAGAAGAGCAGCAAGAGGAGCAGCGAGAGGAGCGGAGAGAGGAGCGGAGAGAGGAGCGTGAGAGTGAAAGCGAGTGTGGGAGTGAGTGTGAGAACAAGGGCCTTGTGACGCAGCTGGTGCAGGAGAAGACAGCCCTACTGTGCGAAAAGACTGCTGCAGAAGCAGAGGTGCGAGAGCTGCAAGCACAGGTGGAGGCGATGAGAGAGAACGAGCAGAGAGTGGGAACGGAGCCGATACAAGGACAGGAAGGAAGACGGATTGAGGTGCAAGACCGCGGGCAGCCGGTACGAGAAAGTGCTGCAGTGGCGGAGAGGGAGGGAGAAGCAGGGGAGGTGGCTGGAGCTATCAGTGCGCTCCAGGCTACGGTGCAGAGGGTTGTGCAGAGCGGTGTAGGGGTTGTAGGGGAGGTGGAGGGGGTGGCGTCAAAAGTGAGACTGGCGGGGGCATGGAAGAACGTGTTGGACGCGGTGAAAAAGGAGGTGACAGCAGCGGTGATGGCTGTGGTGATGGGGGACGAGGAGGACGGGGCTGGAACGAACGGGGAGGGGGCACGAGTGCTGACACCGATGCAGAAACTGATGGTGAAAATGATGGGGCCGCGCTCGGAGCGAGAGTACCGGAGAGCGACAGGGCAGAGAATGTTGGGGGCGATGTGTGAGTGCGAGAACAAGGGGTGTGTGGCGCACCTGGTTAAGGAGAGCACAGAGCCTGTGTACATGAAAGAAGCGAAGGATGCAGCAGCGGAGGTGAAAGAGCTGAAAGAGGCTTTGGGTGCTGCTCTGCGGAGGAATGGTGAGATGGGTGCTGTGGTGGAGGAGAGGGCGAGGGAGCTGGGTCAAGTGAAGGGGGAGCTGAGTAAGGTGTTGGCTGAATGGCAGAGACAAGTCACTGAAGCTCCCAGAGAGATGGACGTTGACAAGGAAATCAGGGAGAGCACAGGGGATCGAAGGAATATATGGCTGGTGAGTGTGAATGTCTTACTTGTATGTCCCTCGGAGAAAAAAAAAAAAAAAAAAAAAAAAAAAAACCAGTAAATCGTGTGCACTTAAGCTGTTCAGTTTGTCCACTTGCTCCTACCGTGCTGCCCCTACCCTCCCTCCGCCCCAGGCTATCCAATCCGCCTCACAAGGAGAAAAGCTGTATCTGAGTTTGAACAGATACTCTTGCCTGTCAGACGCGATCCTAGGCCACGTGTCCACCATGACCCATCTGGAATACCTTCACCTGGATGAATCCTCAGGGTTCAGTGCAATTGGCATGAGGCAGCTCTACCGCCTGCGAGGGTTGGTGGAACTGTTTGTGCGAGGGGCAGCCGTGACAGACGATGCGCTAGAAGGCATCAATGCGTTGAAGAACTTGGAACGGCTTTTCCTGAGCGAAACCAATGTGAGCGATGAGGGCCTGCGGCATCTCCCAGGCCTAACATCAGTGCGGGAGCTGTTTTTGTCAGAGTGCTGGCGAGTCACGTCTGCAGGAATGGTGCATGTGGGGAAGTTGAGGAGCCTTCGCACGCTGGGATTGAGAGATACGAGCGTGAAAGATGATGGGTTGTGGCAGTTGAGTTTGTTGACTCGCCTGGAACTACTTGACCCACCGGAAGGAGACTGTGTTCGTGGTCAGGAGCAGCTTTGCAGACGGTTAGGTGTTGAGAGGGGAATACATTGTGGACGGTGAGGTAAAGATTGAGGATGGGGGTGTAGGGGAAGTGGGGGTGGTGGTGAAATGTGAAGCCCTCATATAGGTTGTTGGCAAGCATGATCCACACATACACACACACCATGGACACATGTGGGTTTGAGCCATGGTACGGTAGTATAGCTGCCATGCGTTTTATCTATCTTATATCAGTAAAATTCACAGTGATTAAGACCGGATATGCGCAAAAGTGGGGCTTGTGGCGTGGTTCGGAAAGTCGAGGCACATATCGCAGGTGCGGTTCGGTAATAGCAGGGCCTCTGGTCCCCCATTCCGCCAAACCAAACCCCAGCTTGTTCATGAGCAGTACAACCAGCCGTTGCACCTGACCGTTTATCTGTGTCTACTGCGCTGCGCACTGCTTCACTGATGCTCGCAGGCAGAAACCAGTACCGCAGAAAACCGAGTCAAAACTTGTCTGGCAAATGATCACTGAGCTTGTTACAGTACCGGATACAGTGGCACACCGGTGCCAACTGTAGACTCGTGTCATCCCCTGCGGTTCGTAAATCTCGGCATTGCGTTTCGCCGTAACACCTGCGGTTCCAGATCCTTATTGCCAAAGCAGATCAGCAAAGAGTTTGCCTGATCATTTATTTAGTAGTGCATTCCGCATAAGTTCACCCACTAGTTATCCACTCCCAATAGAGCAGAACTCACCTCGCGATTTAACAAAAACCGCAACGTATTCCTAGGCATTACTTCGTTGGCAGTATGGCTAGACACGCGCTTCTTGCGCTCTCGCTGGCGCTACTGGTCGTCGCGGCCCGCGCCGGCAGTCCCATCACGAGCAGCTCGGCGAACGAGAAGCCCGACCTGAGCAGCAAGAAGGACGACGGGCTGATGACGGAGATCCCCGCGGACATCGCGAAGCAAGCAGCGGCGGGCAACGCGGCGGGAGTGACGTACGTAGACACGGCGCAGGACACGTTCTTCATGGCGGACGTGAAGAAGGCCGGGTGGAACGCGCAGAAGTGCCCGCCCGGTTTGAACAAGGAGCTCGCGGGCGCGTGCACGCCCAAGAACTGCTCCAAGGGCGGCATCGCCGCCAAGTGGAAAACCGCTTACCTGCAGAAGAACAAGCTCGGATACGAGCTGTACGTGCCGGGTAACCCGCTCACGCTGCTCAAGGCGAACCCCGCTTCGTGCTGCAACACGTGCGCCGCGACGCCTCTGTGCACGTACTGGCAGTACATCCCCGACATCACGATCGACGGCAAGAAGGGCAAGGGCGCGTGCTACCTGATTCACGACCAGATCGACTTCACGTGCGGAGAGATGACCGCGCAGTACAACACGGAGACGAAGCCCGTGCCGCTGCAGGTGCGCATCGGCGGCGAGTGCAACCCGAGCGCGAAGATTCTCAACGACCCGCATCTGGTGGGCGCGCACGGCACGCACTTCGACTTCAACGGGCGGCCCGACAAGGCGTTCTGCCTGCTGACGGACCGCGACCTGCACGTGAACATGCTGCTGCGCGGGTACTACGACGCGCGCACCGACAACGCGGCGCTCGTGGTGGACGGCAAGGCCGTGCACACGTGGATCAAGGAGCTCGGCATCGTGTGGACCGCGGCCGGCGCGGACCACAAGATCAGGCTGGCGGCGCGCAGCGGCAAGCAGCAGGAGCGTGGCGAGGGATTCATGAAGTCGATCGAGATCGACGGCGAGGAGATTCCGCGCATGCAGTTGGGCGACTCGGTGACGAGCGCGGGCGGGCTGACGGTCCAGTTCCGCGCGGAGGAGAAGGAGGGGCCGTTCGACGTGGACTACTATCTGCTCACTATCGACGGACTCGTCTCCCTCGACCTCCGCCTGCGCGTCGCGCACCCCAAGCTGCAGACGCCAACAGACGCCGAGGCGCATATTAATGTGGGGATCGCTGAGCTCGAGCACACGGACGAGATTCACGGCGTGCTCGGTCAAACCTACCGCGCGGATCACTCGCAGCGCGCCGCGGACTTCCAGCGCCTGATCGCGAGCCTGCACCGTCCGATCTCCGCCGATGGCGCGGAGGGCGAGGGGTTTCTGGATGGCACGCCCCGGTCGTACGAGGCGAGTGACGTGCTCGCGGTGGACTGCGCATACACCGCGTATGGCCGCGCCCGGCAAGCCATGCCCGTGCAGCAGCTTCCTTAAAACCCAGGGTCCACAGGTTTCAAAGGTAGGAAGGTTGGTTGGACTTAGTGACAAAACCAAAGGTAGGAAGCTTGGTTGGACTTTGTGACCCAACCAAAGGTAGGAAGGATGAGGCAACTTCGGGATACTTGAGACTCCGGTTTTAAGAGCTGATTCGATTTGGTGAAGATCCAATTTGTATTGTACAGAGGGCTGAAAGTGGGCTGAATGATAGATTAGATAACCTCTTATTTTTTAATTATTTCTTCCCCTGTACAAGGTAAAACCTTATATACGATATTCATTCAAAGGTGTTTCACTCCGCATACAAGCATTCTATCTCCATGAACCTAGATGACGTGACCAATAGGTTGTTTTTCTCACCAATAGGGTGACACAACAAGCAGAGCAAGCAACAAGACTACAGCAACCGAGGGCCTACCTCAACAAGCCCCAACTGCACACAGAACCTGTGGTGGTCACCAAGCGCTAGGGCCTTGGTGAAGACGTCTGCAGTGTTGGCCTCTGAAGCCACAAAGTCCAGGCGTGCCTGGCCGCGTCGCTGCAGCTCTCACAGGAGGAAGTACCTCACGTCAATATGCTGTCAAGACTAAGGCAAGGGAATGAATCAACTATCGAGGAGTTTGGTACAAAAGTGAAACCTAAGGGGTTGTACCCCACAGTGAGTACCCCACTAAGCCTACCCAAACTAGAACATATAAATATATGTTTGAAACACCCCCATAGGCAAAGTGGGGGAGAACAGAGAGTCACAAGACCAGTCAGGAAGTGTAAAGCAAGCTCAGGGTGGATCACAACGTCACCACGCAGTCTGAGCACAAGCAAAGGGCCACAAGGCCAGTTCACATGCACAGATATATACGTAACAACAACAGCACAGTGATCTCTACCTACCAGAACAAGCATGCAGGTATATATATAGATCACAGTACAAACAAAGCCTACAGCAAGTGAGGAAACGTGGGCATAAGGCCTAACAAAGTACAGAAACGCTGATGATCACCAGGCGGAAGTGCCTTGGTGAATATATCAGCAGTGTTGGCCCGAGTGGCCACGTAAGCAAGACGAAGCTGACCACGCTGCTGTAGCTCTCGAGCAAGGAAGTAACGCAGAGCGATGTGCTTCGTTCTGTGCTCCAGTCTGTGCTACTGACACAAGACAATGGCGGCCTTGTTGTCAACGTACAGCACTGGAGGAGAACGAGGCCTCTCTCCCAAGTCGGTCAGCAGGTAGGTGAGCCAGCGTAACTCCTGTGCAGCCATGGCTGTGGCGTAGATCTCAGCCTCACAACTGGAGCTGAGAACTGAAGACGAGCGTGTAGAACGCCAAGAAACCGAACCAGAGCCAAGGCTGAAGGTGTAACCCTGTGACAACCGCTGCGTAGCCTGGTCGTCAACCCAAGAAGCGTCTGAGTGCCCAGTGAGGACAACGTCGCTCCGTCCTCCAAGCACGAGCCCCATGCCTGATGTACTGCACAAGTAGCGTAGTACCCTCTTAGCAGCCTCCATGTGCACCTTTCGGTGCCGACCAGGAGCCACGTAGCGAGCCAAAAGGCCAAGAGGGTACGCAAGGTCAGGACGAGTGCAGGTCATCAGGTACATGAGGCAGCCCACTAGCTCTGGGTAAGGACCACTCGGCTCTACGGACTCGTCCGAAGGTGGAGCTGAGAGCGAGTGACCTGTAGCCAGAGGAGTGGCCTGTGCCGAGGACCAGGTGAAGCCGAAGCGCTGAAGGACCTGCTGCACCATGTGTGACTGAGTCAGTGTGATGGTGCGGCGTGCTCTGTCCCGGGTGATCCGCAAGCCAAGATAGCTTGTCAGCTCACCCAGGTCTGTGCACGTGTGTCTCTTCTGCAGCTCCGACTTCACCAGGGCGAGAGCCTCAGTGTCAGCAGTGGCAAAGACCAAGTCGTCGACGTACACGAGGATGTAAAACGGCGGCAGTGAAGTGTCGGTGCGCAGAAACAGCGACGGGTCAGCAGTCGACAGAGAAAACCCAAGAGCCGCAAGTGTCGTCCTCAGTGTGTCGTGCCACTCACGCGGCGCCTGGCGGAGACCGTAGACCGGCCGCCGGAGGCTCCACTGGGTACCAGAAGGGAACGACCCAGTGAAGCCAGGTGGGCGGCGCAACCAGATCTCCTCGTGCAGGCTGCCCTGTAAGAAAGCTGTGCCGAAGTCAAGAGAGTGAAGCTCGTAGTCACGCTGGGCGGCAACGTGCAGCAGCACCCGAAGAGTGGTCATCTTCGGGGTGGGGGAGAAGGTCTGGAAGAAGTCAACCCCCTCTCGCTGACTGAAACCTCGAGCAACGTAACGAGCCTTGAAGACAGGCGGAGAACCTGGCGGCCGCTTCACCCTGAAAATCCACATGCCACTGACGATGTTCGCCCCAGAAGGGGGAACCTCGTCGACGCAGGTGCCTGTGGACTTCCAGGATGCCATCTCTGCATCCATGGCTGTCTGCCACTGAGAGGAGTACTCACCCGCGATCGCCTCAGCGTAAGAGCGCGGGGTCGGGATGTCTGGTGCATCCGGGTCTCCCCCAGGGGCAAGCAGCATGGACACGAGATGAGGCGCAGCGGCTGCAAAACACTCAAGGTCCTCGTGCCTGTCCTCAAGGACGTCCGTGCCAAGAGCACACTCACCCCCGACGGACGGAGGACAGACAGACTCAAACTCAGCAACAAGACTAGCAGCGTAGTCTAGACGACAGGCAGCAGCAAAGTCAACAAGCTCAGCGACTAAGGCAGACGCAGCAGCAGACTCAAACGACGGGTCAGTGACAACAGTGGCTAGCAGACGCGCGACAGTAGGGTGCTCAGCACGAAACCGGTCAGACTCAGGGTCCGGAACAACAGGCAGAGAAGACTCAGGAGGAGACGGCAGAGGAACACGCTGCGGAGGAGAGGAAGGACGACGGACTACAAGGGAAGGGCCGGGGACAGCCGGCGGACGCTGACGAGGAACAGGACGACTGGAACGACCAGAACGGACAGGTGAGACAGGACGCGACGCAGGCTCATGACGCTCAGCAAAGCCCCCTGTCTGCTCAGCGTAAGGAGAAGGAGCAGGCAGAGGTGAGCCAGGCTGTAACGGAAGACCAGTAGACGACGGGAGGCTAAGAACCTGGCGAAGTACGGAGTCAGGCGGTGGCAGAGACGACGGAGACGGTGGAGCAAAGAACAGGCGCGGCTGTGCAGTGCCACCAGCACTAGCAGCTCCAGCACCCTCAGCAGCTCCAACACCCTCAGCAGCTCCAGCACCTCCAGCAGCTCCAGCACCCTCAGCAGCTCCAGCACCTGTGTCTCCAGCAGCAGCACCCCCAGACCCAGGGTCTCCAGCAGTAGCACCCTCAAGCTCAGCAGCACCTCTAGCCCCAGCAGCTCCAGCACCTCCAGGACGAGCACCTCCGGGACCAGCACCACTCCCAGCTCCAGAGACGTCAGCAGAAGTACCTCCAGCGGCAGAGCCCCGAGCTCTAGAAGCGCGACCCTGACGGCGACCGTACCAGTCATGCAGCTGCTGTGAGGTGAGAGGCACATGCAGACGAAGGCGGCTACCCCAAGGCGACCGCGCAGCAGCAGACTCAGAACCCTCAGGCGTCGCACCCCCAGACTCAGTACCCCCAGGCTCCTCACGCTCAGGTTCAGCGCCCCCAGACTCTGCACCCCCCGGCTCAGTACCTCCTGGGTCCTCACGCGCAGGCTCCGCACCCCCAGGCTCAGCACCCCTAAGCTCCGCACCCCCAGGCTCAGCACCCCAAAATTCCGCACCCCGAGGCCCAGCACCCCCAAAGACAGCACCACCCTCAGCAGGACCTGAGTCACCAGTGACCTCAACAGGCGCAGGCACGGGAGGGTCTACCTGAGAAACACCCGAAGGAGCAGGACCTGGCGCGGGGAGGGGGTCTACCTGGGGAGGACCTGGGGCGAGAAAGAGCGGCGGTGGGGGGCGAGGGGCAGTGCGGTAGGGAAAGAGACGGTAAAAGGGGACGGACTCGTCAAAGGTGACGTCCTGAGACGGAAAGACACGACGCGAGGCGGGGTCGTAGAACTGCCAGCCAGGCGCGTCAGGGACAAAGCCAAGGAAGACGCAGGGAATGGCGCGAGCGGAGAGCTTGTCCGCAGTGGTATCGCGGACAAAGGCACGAGCACCCTAGACCCGGAAACGCGACGCATCGCCAACCTTCCCCGTCCACAGCAGTGTGGGCGAGGTCTCCGACAAGGAGACACGGGGCCAGAGGTTGAGCTGATGCGCGGCGTACCGGACCGCAAACGGCCACAGAAAATGGGGGGCAGCCGCATGGATCATGGAGGTACGAGCGACCTCCATTGTTGAAGTTAGGTGAGTGGCAGCCATGGCTAGTGAGTGAAGTAACGAGAAGGAAAAGTTGCTCTAGAGAAAGTGTCGAGAGACATTTGAAAGTTAGGGTTGGGAAACCCCAACTGAACCTAAGGCGTGTTCAATGTAGAGGCAAACTGCAAAGTGAACCTAAGATGAACCAGAAATGAAACTAAGCCTAAAAGTGGCCAAAAAAATAATATAAGGCCAAGATGAAATGCAGAGCGAACACTAGTCTACTCCAACACACCCCCAGGCTAGGTGAAGCTCTGGAACAGAACACCTAGCGAACCGGAACACCCTCAGAAGTGGCGAGACGAGTGAGACCAAGCGCGCGGACGTAGAAACGGTGCGGCGCACGAAGGAGGGCCTTGGTGAAAATGTCAGCAAGGTTGGCGTCGGCGGCCACCTTGCGGAGGCAGAGGAAACCAGACTGCACCAGCTCGCGCACAAAGTAGTAGCGGACCTCTATGTGTTTAGTGCGGGCGTGATAGACAGGATTTTCAGTGAGATGAATCATGCTCGCACTGTCACAGGAAAGCGTCACAGACTGCTGAGAGTGACCAAGCTCAGCAAGGAGAAAGGAGAGCCAGCGAGCCTCCTGAGCTGCCAATGTGCCTGCGCACAACTCAGCCTCACAGGTGGAAAGACAGACAGAGGATG